AACCCCTAATTTAACGCGACTTTTTCAAATGGTGAAAGTTCTCTCTAGATTTAATTATATAGACTCTTTTTTCCCTGCCATGAGCAAATGTAAGGCTATGCATTTCATCGTAAAAAATACTAATTCTGAAATGTTTAAGATTGTCATGATATTTTATTCCCTTCTTAACCGAATGTTTTATTCAAAAAGCAGAGTTTAGAAAAACCTCATATATCACCTTTTCATACATTCCCTGCTGCTATATATCTTGCATCCACTGCGGCAGCGAAATAGGCCCCAAACGCGTTTAAGTTTCGTGATTGTTTTTTTTTTCTTTTTATTCAAAAACAAAAAATAAGTTTACTAAAATAAGCGCGCTTTGTAACATTCGATAACACCGAGCAGCATGTGCCATAAACAAAAACATACAGGCAGTTACGAACGCTCATATAAGCAGAAGACGCGCGCGCCTCCACCATTTCGACGGAAACACACAATTCATGAAAGCAGTCATGGACTGCCGCAGCCAGCTGTCCTCTCGCCCCCAATCTCAAGATCCAGGTCAAGCCAGTTATCCAAATACAACGGAAGCGGCATTCATGGCGAAGGAACCGCGTCTGTTTCCTCGAGCTAAACAAAAACAAAAGAAAGAAGTTTCCTCGTTCGTTTCTTTTTCTCAGTCCATCTACCACTAAAGATGTAAGGGAAGATGGACGTCACGCGACGTTATGGCATTACGTGAAACCACTACTTGGAACCATGACGGCACGTCACGTGACCACGCGGTGTGACGCGATGTCACGTGGCGTCGATTCAACGCGGAAACGAATATGCAATATGTTCGTCTCGACTTGCCGAATCGCCTGTCCAATGCCTTCTAAACTAGTTCACACCATCGCTTCTTAAATATTGCACTCCATGCATCTTTGAGACAAAAAAAAAAAGAAACGGTATCAGCTTTTTTTTATATCTCATCTTTCCGGCCAGTTGATGTTATTGACTAGAGAGCTGTTCGGAGGAACTTGGAATTATTCGTGGAACACAAACTGTAGCTGAAAGGATGACAACCCTGGCGACCGCGAAGGGCTTGTGTCGCGCGCCGGAAGCAGCGCGGGACAGATCGAATTCGGTATGAGCAGCGAAAGCCTTCATGGCGAGTGTTGCTTCCCGTGACAGCTCAGCTGAGCGTCCCTCGCTGCTGCCTTGACCCGGTTTCCCAAAGAAGCGCGCGCGCGCAAAAACACGCCCAAGTATCGCATCTCTCCCGTCCAAGCGCCCGTCCAGCTTCGTGAACGAGTTAATAAGATTCGTGACGACTAACTCATGACTCCGATCGATCGATGGACGTTTCTGCGTCAGAAGGAACGGCGCTGCGCTGCACTGATAAGAGCAAGTGTCGTCCCCAGGGAAACTCTCGAAGAGATTTCCTGGAATGCGTGTCTGGCGCGCAACACTACAGGTTATCTCAACGTTTTTTTTTTTTTCATTTATGTTATCGATACGTCATTGATAACCTTTGAGTGAAGTCTTTACTGGCTCTTCCACACAAACTGGCGTCATTGAATCTGTTCCTTTTAGATCAATTTTCAGGAAAAAATGAATCGACGCATACTTCGTAGCTTTATTTTTTTCAATCTAAATTTAGTTGAATTATCGCATTGTTTAGCTTGCACCGGCGTGTCGTTGATTTCGTTTAATGAAAATTTGTCGCGTATGCTTGCTTTATGCAATACATTCTACGCACGCTAGTAGATTTAACTCGGTTTTCCGGAATTAAGATTAATATTGCTGAATAAACGCGTTCAACACAGGCCGCAAGTATAAATACTAATTGTATTTCTCAAACAGATACAGGTTGCGAAACAAACTCTCGTTAATCAATGCATTCCCTTAGGTAATATAAATATTATCTAAGTTCACCGTTTCGAGGTATATTTTGTTTTTGCACCACAACAAAAACGTTCGCGATGAAACAGCATGCGGTGAATGAGAACGGTGAAAAATTTCACAAATGAACCACCTTAGCGTCAAAATAATACATAAAATATACTATGGTTCAGTTCATCATCCGAACAGTAGGGCCACAGAACAGCACCTAACATATGGTCAGAGCGGCAGAACAAAGCGTACGTTGTATTGATGGTGGTGGGAGAATACGTTTCGAAGCTGTAATGGCCATTATTCTGTCATTAAGAAGAATTACTTGACCAGTGTAGGCATTTATAAGAAATACACGTCTTTTAATTTACATGTGCTGATCTCAGCAATTACCGCAAGATGTTATAAGGCTGAGCTTATGATGACTATCTGTTTTTCTAAAGATATTGCTTGTAGGATGAACATTTATCCACTTTGGAGGGGCACTTACATAAAGTTCATTGCTAGCAAGAAGTATCAGCTCCCCCCGGCGACAAATTCAAAATTTATAGAAAGAAGTTAACTATTTCTGGTATTTTTTGCGACCTTTTTCTTCCATGCCTGTAAAAGATAATTTTTTTTAAGGCTATCAGGTTGCAACTTGAACATTCTCGGGAATAATCTCGACGATGACTGCTGCTCTTGAGAGCGAGCACTCGAGGCAGTGCTTGACCAGAATTTTGGCAAGGAATGAATAGATGCTACGCACAGCGCAGATATGAATGTATCAGTCTGGTGTCGGAAAAGTTTACACGCTCTACCCCAACATATAGCTCGAGAAGTACTCCGACTTTACACCTTCATGCAAAACAAAACTTAAAGTCTTACGGAGTGCTCAGTATTGAACATGCGCTTCTGTGCAGCGGAAAAGACAAAACAAAAAAAGTAGGTTCTTTGTGTGTGTTTGTGTTTCTTTAACGCATTGCCGAACGCTCATTTTCCGCCCAAATGACGCGCTAGCCATTCGAATAAGATGCCATAATTTGAGAACAAACTGGTATATAATTCAAAAGTTAACAGAGATTTTTCGTTACCGTTTTTAGTTACCGTTTTCGGTGATTCAGCAAAAAAAAAAAAAAAAAGATTGGGTTGTCTGTGTGTGTTTATACAGCCTAGAACTTGGTCTGCGTCAACGGGCGACGAGTCTCCCAGCTGTAGATGAGCAATTTAGCCAGTGCAGTACAAGCGCTAGCCTGGGGTCTTTCACGTGCACCACGCAGTAGCGATACACGACCGCACGCCGGTACGATGCTCGTCCAGATCGAATCGGGCCCCTAGGGGTGGGGATTGAGCCCAGGATCCCTGGGTTCTGCTGCAGCGCGAGCTTCCGGTCCCCGTGCTCCGAGCTGGTGTGCGCCAGACCACTCAGCCACCGATCCCCCCGGTTATTCAGCTCATTTCGAGAGCTTTGTCGGCTCCCATCATTCTCAATAAACATTTCAGAACATCGCTTAAAAAGTTGGTTTAAGATAACGGGTAGTTCTGACGCATTGGAATCTTGTTTGAACTGCTAGGGCTACATGTGGGCGGAAAATGAGCGTTCGGGGATGCGCATTTTATTTTAGCGCTAAAAGCAACACTTGAAACATTTTTTTTTTAGTTTGGGGGGGGGGGGGGGGGCGTGCGTATTTTACTTCTCTTGGCTTTATTGCGGCAGATAACTCCAGCTTGCCCGTGAATACTCTAACACTAAATTATATTTCGAGCTTTCGTGCTACTCGCTTATTATTACCGAATCGTCCTTTTGGCTTCTCGAGAATATCTCCGAAAGTACTTAACTCTCATAGTGAATTTATGTGACAAGTTGAGAAAAAGGAAAGATTTATGTGCCGTTCTCTCCGTCCCTGTGCTTATTCCTTCAGTTTTATTTAAATTCACCAACGCGCTTACCTCGAACTAAAACAGAAACAAATGGTCGTTCTTTTTTTTTTTTGTCTCTGTGTGTCAGGTCTTTATACTCGGTGTTTTTACGCCTTTTGGGGGACAAGGTGAGGCAAAACGCTGAAAAAGCTCGAAACGGCCGCCTTCAGTCACTGACAATTCTTGCTCCAAAGCCCATTATAATGTGGCACTGGCCACTAATGACGCCGATAAACGAACGAGGAAGCAAGCATCCTGAAGATTATAGGTGTCCTGTTATCTTCGGGATTCTTGCTTCGTGGTTCGTTCTTTACCTAAGCTTTCAGTGACTGTAACACTTATAGTCTAGGGCAACTTAGAAAGCGCTGTCAGCACATTCAACAGTTTGCCCAATCAAGCCATTGCCCGCTTGTTCCGCTTCTACCTGATAATTGCACTGCGCTGTCGTCAATTTAATGGCATGAGCGTGTGCGCTGACACGGGGCACCGACTCGGGTTCGGTGTCAAAGGTTCTTGTTCTCAATATCCCGTGAGGAAAAAATAAAAACGCCGATGTCGCGTTGACTCTAATTGTGGCACAATCCGTAGCGGATGTTCTTTTCCTCTTTTTTTTTAATTAACTCTTTTTTTAACGTGAATATCAGAAATTAATGTAGACTGAAATAAAGGCATGGGTATGAGACGCAGGTTAATTACTACACAGCGGGAATAACAAGTGACGGAAACACGTAACGTAGAGGGTTTAAGAAATCGTGACTCAAAAGTTCTATGAGAACGTGTTGGTGTCATTTTGTGTTCTCCGTTGCAATCATTTATTCTGTTTACGTTCTTTTAGCCTGTTCACCCATTACACTTCCCCTGTGCTCTGCTCCCTCTTAAATTCCAATTTTGAAGCTACCGCGTCTTTTTATTCGACAAGTGTAAATGATAGGGGTCACCTAATGCGGCGAGCCCTTTCTGAAAGCACATACAGATGTTTGTAGCGTGTATGTGCACATGCGTGACAAAATGCGCAGCTGTATGAAGAAAAATAATGCCCTACCTGTTCATGATTTTATTGCCACTTCTATCCGCAAAAACAAACACCTCTCTGCCACAATAACGTGTACATCGCCCGTTGTCCTGCCGGTCCCAAACAATGCCACCCTTCAGCCCGCACTGGCGGGGTTGATTGCTCCAGATTCGCTAATTCCCAGCAATTGTTCTCGCGATGCCGCGCAGTAAACAGCAAGGATGAAGCTTACATGAATGGGGGATGGTCGTATCTCGCAAGAAGCAATTTCCCGTGTCGCTCAACGTCCACCGCAAGCCCATAGGGTGGCTCGTGTCTCCCGTCTTGTGATTGGATAAACCGCTGCTGACACACGTTAGGAAATAAACCCACCCACGCCGTAAGCACCAATCAAAACCCGACGTTTCGGAAGAAAAAAGAATAAAATGCTGCTGTTGGGACTGACTCTCCACCCGCGTATAACTCACGCGCCATCTAATGTTCGGAAGTGAATCCGGCTGGACATTTTTTGTCGTACTTGTGCCATGTCTACATTGCGTACAGGAGGGTCACATCAAGATTCAATTATTGACTTGAGAGAGAGGAAGTGCGAGAGAGATCCACTTCTGATAGGTCAAAAGTGTTCGTTCCCCACAGCCAATCAGGCACTACCTCGCGCTAGTGTAAGCCACGTTCCACTCAATTTCGGGAATGCAAAGATTGTTCATTGACCCTTCAGCCTTACCTGTAACATAGTTAAGTTGTCCTCACATCAGATAATGTACTGACTTCTATTTTTACCAGGGCGTGCCGCGATCGTCTACTTCATAAGAGGCAGCGCGCCGCGAAGGTCAGCTTAATGAAAATTAATGTGAAACCCACTATTTTTATATGTCTGGACACACAGGATTCACCTAATTTATTCACAATCTGAACATTTTATACAAACAAAAGTATCGGTTCTGATGATGAAATCAGCTGTTTACTTATGTCAGCTATGTGGCGTTCCACATGAATTGACTTTCCATAGGGATTGGTATGTCTGCCTCGTGGAGGTGTTTGCTCACTCTGAATGACATTGCGCATAATGAGTAAAAACAAAGCAAGTGAGACGTTCGTGTTTCTGCTCCGTTTTACACCTAGTCCGTGGGCAGCCGATGCTGTGCTCTGATTTCAGCCAATCAAGTTGCGTTTAAAATGCATCGTTATGACTCTCGTCGTCTTTGTGCGTTTGCCGTCAGCGGCTAAACCAACCACTCACAGAAAATGCGCCGTAAACCTGCGCTGTTTTCTGTGCGTAATTGGTTTAGCCGGTGATAGGAAACGCACAAACACGACGGGCGCCGTGACAAAGCACTTTTTGGCGTAGCCTGATTTCTTCGTTCGAATTGTAGGGGAAATGGAGTATTGGTGACTGCATCGAAATGGACGCCGCGTAGCGGCAACGCCGAGAAGCTCTAAAGAGGAAGTCGTCTCGACTCTGTCGTCTGCTTTCGCTGGTTGCTTATAGTAGGCACCATAGAAACAAACATCGTTTCCGGTAATTATTGTTATGCTTCCGCGTTGTCATTCCTACGCACTGACTAGAAAAAAGGTTTCTACCTTCGAAAAATCCCTTTGCTTTTATACATAACACCAATGTTATGCTGCACTGGAAGGAATATATGGTGGTTCGTGTGCTGAGCATCGAAAACGACGTCTTTTTTTCCACCATTGTACATGACCAGCGCGCCCCCTATTGTTCACTGGAGTGGCGAGTACGCCGTGATATGTTGGTCTGCCTTCGAGGTACGGCGACACCGCTTTACGCTCTGAAGATGAGACATTTTGACGGTGCAGTGCGACTGCACTGCACTGTCAAACCTTTGACGTGCATCGAGCAGTATAGTGATCCTGTTTTACGAGCGCATGAACGGTACGATGCTCATCCAGGTTGAAACGTGCAAGGGTGCGGATTGAACCCGGGATTCTTGGGTTCTGAGCCACAGTTAGTCTAATCACGGTACACCTCAGTCTGGGAGACGGATTGACGCCTTTTATTTGAATAGCTGGACTGCAAACCAGGGCACTCACTACACAATTGCGGGTTCAAAACTGGCTTGCAAACGAGTATTCTCGCAAATCCCGACATATCAATATTTCCCTAGAGTTTAAGTTAATAAGATCAGTACATCCTAGTCTGCTACTTTATTTTAACAACGCTGGGTATGAAGGTGACTGAGAATGGACTCGATTCTTGTCTTGCTGACTGAGAATGCACTCGGTTGATTTGATTTAATTGCCCTTGAATACATTTAAAAGACCTAAGACAGGGTGTGATGATCCGGCAATGGATCCACTCAAATGTAAAACAAACAAATGGAGACCCGGTTCCTTAGTCGTTCGAAGCAACTCCTTCGTTAAATTAATTTTAGTCTATAGGGACGGCACAATTTATTTGCTTTGTTTGGGAATGCCAATAATCGAATACTTAAATGACACATGGATTGCACCGTATTCTCACAGGAAACGTGCTGGTATGGGCTTATGAGGATGGCGACGGTTTTGTTGTAATCGCAGCCTTGCTCCTGTATTTGATAAAATTTTCTCCATAATTGCCTTTTTCATAGTGGGTCGTTCTAAGCAATTCCGAAGTTTGCTTAATTTAGTGCATGACCAAGACAATCTTGGAAGTCACGTGCTGCGTGCAGTTAGCTCGCTATGTAAATCGCTCAGTACCGAGTAATAATCGCACCACGAATGCCGATTTGTTTACGCGTTCTGAAAATTATTATTTTCTTTCTGACAAACCTTCCCCGACTTTTACAATTTATTTCTTTACTCTGAACTGTCTAAAATTAAAGGAGCAGTCCAACGATATCGGGCTGCACCTTTTCACACTTTACACAACCTTACTGGTACATGTGCTACATAAGTAAGACTTACCTTCATAAAGTTTATGTTATCGGAGGCAAAAAAGAAAAGATATGCGTTGCGGGAAAAGACCACGTGTTCCTAATTTAGGCAATTTCAACGGGCTTCTTTTAGAATGCCCACTGATTTGCGCACGCCCAGTGATGTGCGCATGGTGAAAATCTACGCCCACTTGATTTTGCAAGTGCTCTAGCCTATCAAAAAAATGCATCAATAGGAATCTCCAACGAAATGTTTCAGCTCTGACAAGAGTCAACCCTTAAAAAACTCCTTGATCGCCGGATCACCAGGTTTGAATTTTGGGTGCACTATTACGGCTCCAAGGCGGAGAAACAAAGTGAAAAGTGGAACCACATGAATTCGACACCGCCAAATCAGGGGAAGGCGAAGTTGTCATTGCGGAAGGCGTTGATTAGCTATTTTGGCTGGTGGGCTGCTGACATATTAGACCCGCAAGGGACAAACAGTCACGGAAAAATATTACCGAAACACCAGAGTCCTAACTTGGTTACGGGAGGACATCAAGCATCGCGGAGATCCGACGAAGGGGGTTGGTGACCATGGAACTGCTTTGGTCTATAAAATTCTGCCTCTGCCCCTGCGTTCATCCGCCCTCGAGCTCGGTGGCTTCTGCCTTCCTCCACTCACAATGAGCCCACTGCGTAGAGAGTGTTTCCAGGAAGATGACGGGGTGCTCGTCGAGGTTTAACCCCTCGTGGGAGTCAAAATCAGGTATTCGAGAGACAGAGTATCTGCCAGCTGATCAATAGACTACTTCCATAAAGCCCTACATGCAACACGGCGCGCGTTGCACTCTGGGAACTAGTTGGCCAGCCAGGGACGAGGGTGGCATGGTTTCGGTTTCGATTGACACATCGACAAAAGATTATACACAGAGCGTGGACTATTAACGGCCGTTATCTCATGTTTTCTGGTCCCGAGAGCGTCATTTGTGGTCTCTAAACTAACCTAAATGGCCAGACCTTGAAGCTTTAGACAAGCCCGCGAAGTATAGTTTGTCTTAACTCATGCTTGTTGTATTTTTGTACTTGAGCCTTTCTGTTAGCGTTCCAATCGAGGTATATGGACGAGCCAGTGCTGGGAATCTCGACGCTGCGAAGCTCGGGAATCTTGCTTATGTACGAACCAACGAGCTGTAGCAACCAATAAGGATGCATACATCGAGCTCGCGGCTTTACATTAGTGTTGTTGTTCAGGAAGTTTGTTTGTTTCGTGCGTCCATAGACGAAAAGTCCGTTTTTTGCAATTACTGTTTTTCTTAATACGCCTGAGTACGCGAGGTAAAACTCGGAGGCGCCATTGAAAAGCTCAATTTTAACACACTTCTAATCTCTTATCTGTACTGGCCCGCAGCACTGCACGAAGTGAGGCGCTTGCATTCCACTAATGTTCAACATGGCGTATGCGCATAAAGTTATCCTGCAATCATATAGGCACATTGGCACATACAGACCATTTTTAGAAAGCAAAGGTCGAGCACTTGTGTGAAGAATGTCGCACCGTTCGCCGGGAGTGCGCCGGACGGGCAAGAACCCCTCTGCGGTGCGCCAAACGAACGAAATTATTCAAAGCGCGTTTGACAGTTGCTAATGGCCATAATATTTTTTATGTGTTAGCTTTCTTCCTGCCTGAGTATGTCGAGATAATTTCAGACACACCGTTCAGGCACAGATCTTGGGCGTCAGTAAAAGCTCGTCCAAAAAGGCTTAGCGAGGAGTAGGGGACGCTTGTTAGGGCCTCCGTCGTAGCTAGCCGATCTCAGCGTTTGCAAAAACTTAATCTTCTATCAGCATAAAATTTGAGTGGGAGATATATGATGACACGAGGAAGACATCGTAGTAACTTTTTTGCAGTAGCGAGGTCGAATTTATTGCGTTTCCTTAAAAGTTCATGCGTCAACGCTGGGCTCAACTTCGATACTCCTGTGAGAATGCGGCTTCCTTCTTTCCCAGTGAAGTAGCAAGAAGCGGACGTTTGGCAAACAAAAGAGGTGAAAGGCTCCAGGTGAACAAATTTCAGTTCTAGTTCACTTGTACTAGGCGGGATTATTGAAATTGAACTCAAAGATGCACTCGTTGGGTGAGATGACTAAGCCACGCCTTACTACGTTTGCATACGCACTCATAATATCCGGTGTTTCGGGAACCAAGAAAAGTGCCCCGGTCTTCGTTTTGTATCGCTCGAGAATGAGTGTATTGTACGTTAGTGAAAAGTCAGATAATCGAAAACGCAAGCAGCGCGTTCGGTCGCGGCGTGATAGCATGAGATGAAGCTGCTCAGTCGAAACCGAAACTGAGCGGCCAACTAGTTCCCAGAGTGCACTGCGTGGTACTTTGCCGCGATGGGGCGCGTCGGTTTTGGAAGAAGTTCATTGGTGGGAGAAGTGTGTCGCTCGGGTTAGGCATATGTGGATATGTACTAACCTCAGACCGATGGTCGTGGTCGCAGCTTTTATCTCCATGAAAATAGCACAAAGTTTATGAACGCCTTCGTGTACTCGCATGCAACGACACTGACCAGATGTTTCTTGCTTCCCGTGTAACTTCACAGATTAAAGCGAATCTTTTCCTCGAATTTTTTCGTCGCCGAAATAGAGTCACAGTGGTGAATTAGTCACGAATATTACACCGTGATAACGATAGTCAATTGTGAATCCTAGACTGGACGTGATCACTGCGTGATTACTGAATTCGTTTCCGGAACAATGAATGCCTCGACGAGCAACTCGGGCAGTGGTTTATAAACGATCGCTGCAATTACGAAAATATCAGAAACCCAAAACAATGTTCGGAACTGATCACGTGCTTGGGCTTTGTGATCTCCACAATAATGAATATTGGCGACACGAGATCAAGTGGCAGGTTGTTCTGTCAGCCAGTACAACCTGCCGCTTTTTTTCTGCGATTATCATTAAGTGGAGAGAAAAGGCAATTTGGGGGGTGTTTTGTCGGTTATGAACGTCAAGGCATATTTCTTAGTGGTGTTTACTATAAGTACGAAAATTGCTGCCCTTTAAGTCGTTACTTTCGACCTGTAGGCGACCATAAACTTCGCATGTCTATTTGAAATAATTATTGTGAAAAGCATAATAGTAAGCCACACCCTGCGTTTCTTAAACTGTCAGTGATCGTTGAATTTTAGAATTATGAAATACCGAGTTTCCTTTCTTTTTTATATTGCTTTAGTTTTTAGCATACATGTATTTCTAAAAAAAAAAAAAGTTGAATTTCACGTGAATGCCTGTAATGAATTGGAACCACATTGATATTTAGAATGTTGCTTGAATTCAAAGTAGAAAAGCTTCTGCTCTAGCGAAATGAAAAAGTAGCAGGTGAACTCATATGCTCGCGTTTATTAGCGCACAAAGCAATAAAAGGCTTTATTTAAGCTGTAGATGTGCATGATCTCCCAGCAAGGAGGAAGCGAAACACTGTTTTAAATGCAGTGCACCATGACTGGATTTGTCGTTTCTGAAATAATGAATTGGTCCATGAAGCTCAGTGACATTCTTCTAAAAAAGGAGCAATATTAATTTTTCATCCGGCGATTTCAAATAAACTAGTGATGATTCACACCAGAAATGACCGCGGTCCACATATTCTATATACTGTTTGTAAAAAAAAAAAAAAAAAAAAAACTCACATCAACATTGACCGTTAAGTCTCACACCGTACCAGAATGGTAACTTACACTTTGTCGAAGTAAACAACACGGAACCAACACATTTCTAATAACGAAACATCCCTCGTTTGATGGCGCTAACGTGCAAAGCCCTCATCGGGGGATTCGACACCGCTGTCATTGAATCACTTTGCGCGCCGCTGTCGCAACACACCAAAGGAACTGGGGCACTGACTTCATGAATGAGCTCTTCGTTCGGTCGGAAACTGTTCGCGCCTAACGAACTCCACGCACACAACAACGACCCATCCCGCATCCTCCGGCGTTACGGTTCCTCTCCTCGCTAAGTGGAATCGCAAATCAGTCATCGTTTTTTGTTGTTGCAATGTTTCCGTTGCGACACTGTTGATCCGTAAGGATTCCTTCAAAGTTTGTCGCTGGAAGGAGCTAGAGTGATGAAGTTAATATTTGCCGATTAATGAGACTGGAGCTTATAACCAAATCGTCCATTTATTTTGTAATGTTTGTTGGAGAGGACGCCCTCGCAAAATACGACTCCGAAAATAACCTAAAAACATATTCCTTCGTGGTGAAAACTTTACGACCTTTTTCAGACATCCGTTTTTCACCCAGCTTCTCACCTGATGCCTATGGATTTGTTTTGTCGGTAATTTTTATAAATGGCTCTTGAGCGATTCCTCCTTCACCAATATATACGTCCCCATTGACACTACAAGTGTGAAATTCTTTTGTGCCGTTATTTCATTCACACAAGGTAGCTTGCGCCGCAAAACTTGCTAGGTGATATATGCTATCAACAGGAAGCATTCTGTAACTCGATTATGAACTCCCTGTACTCGTGTCGAGAGAGAATATTGGGCACCGCCCAAAAACAATATGAAGTTTAAATACCCTTATTAATCTAGCTGTGTCCACATGTGACTGCATTCTTTTTAATATCAGTCTTCAAATCTGGAGTTGACCCTCTTCTATGCTACTTATACTCTGCGAGCCATATGCAAAAAAAAAAAAAAAAAAAAAAAAAACGAATGCATAAACATTACGCGTAACACTCGAAAAGCGAAGCCAATTTGGCGTACGCCCATTTCCCCCCGTTAAGGAGTCCATGACTGTCACACAGCACGCCGAAGTATCTTTGAGAGACCGTCCCGGTGCTTATCAAAAGGAGCAACAATGTTGTGACGTCAGCGTTCCACCGCTTTGCTTCGGACGGACGTCGGCGAGACAGTAACATCTTGTCGACGATAAGGGGAAAACAAATCGTCTCTTCCCCTCCACTCCATGTTCGCGCCATACACGCATCGATAAGCACACGCCTGATACGAACCGCATGCGACAGCCTTAACTACCCCCTCTATAATGCCTCTCCTCCGAATAATCCGACAACAAGAAAGTGGAGGTGGGGACGACAAAAGTCCGTGGTGTCCCGCGATTGCCAAGGAACATAGGCGAACGGGGTCAGGTGATTCGCGGATCGACCAATCAGAACGCGGACAGGTACCTCCGGGGTATTTAAGGCGAGGTAGGCCCGGGACCCGCTCACACGAGGGTTCACTCCAGCCCATGCATCCGAGTGAGACCAGGCCCAAGTTCTTCGTTGTCACTTTTCGTCCGGATCAGTTCTCCGAAGCCACCTCCTGCCTCCGGCCGAGACTAAGCGTCTACGATTCTCCAGAATGGTGTCCCCAGATCCGATCCAGTTTATGGCGCTTCCTGTAAGTTCGACTCGGTCCTGATTTCCTTCTTTTTTGTCTGCCTAATGGGATATTTCGTGACGTGGTTTTGGCATATATGTGGAATTCGCAATTTTGGAAGTATGCGCGTGAATGTTTTTACCTCCGATTTTGTCAAATTTTCGAGATAACATTTTTTATTCTGTTTACCTGGTATATACGTTTAATGACGGATATGTTAGGTACATACGCTACATGCTTTTGCCCTAGATTGAGAGACGTCAAAGTTTTTGTTTTGTTTTTCTCGATAAATATTTTGGAATTTAACCTCGATAATGTGTTGCTTAGCCGATACAAACATTTAGTGATTTTTGCGTTATATTTCTAAAAGAAAAACATATTAATGAGGTTAAAGTCACTCCGTGAATTTGGAGATAATTGTTAAAATTATTTTATGCTAGTTTAAACCATTACGCTCAGCACTACTTCTTGATGAGAAATAAGATATTCACTTTTTCCTGCACATAACATTGGCGCCTGAAGTATTACCAGGTTTTCTACAAAACATCAAACTTGTTTTTATAAAAAAAAAGTAAAACGTTTTAGATGCCGATAGCAAATTAAATCTGATTTCCTCAAGCACATATACGTTATATTTGGATATTTATATTAGCTTTATATAAACACATATTTTCGACGTTTACTCCCAAACGTTTATGTTCTAGCTCCGCTGGCATATTGTGTCTGTTTGTACTTCTCAATAACTATTTTCGAGACTTTCATTTCTATTTCCCCCAGAACACTAAGGACTGTTTTATTACTAGATACCGCCTACGCATCACAATCTTGAGCCTGGCGATAATCCAGCTGCTGTCGACTTGCACTGCTATTGAAGTTACACGTTCACGCAGAACGAAGATGGAGATGCCTCCGGATAACTTGCACTATGCGCGCAAACACCACTCTGGATGCTAATAAACTCGAAAGTTACTTTTCTATACCTATCCTCGTAGGTTGTACGGAAGTTATACAGCTCAATAAGAATGAAGTTTGAAAGACTACTGGGTACTTTGAATTTCGAAAACATGTGGTTACAATTGAAAAGTCAGCAAAGAGCAAATAGTGGTGGCGTGATTGCTTAAGGATCAGAGCAATATTATACTTTTTTTTCGGCTAGCGTCACATTTGTAATACTGCTTTAAAAAAACAAAAACTGGATGGAGTTGTATATAAAGGTGAAACCGAAAAACTCAAAGGTCCTTTATATAATATGTTGCTAGCTGTGGCTTAAAAGGCAAACTGATTGCATTCACTGTTTGTGGCTACTCCTTCACTTCTTGGTAAAATAAATAGATGACTCCCACGTATAATTAGGGTTCCATTCAGGCAAGGTGTATCTAATGCCCCCGATAGTTTTTGTGATGCAAAAATCTGCGTGCAACTAGTCCATGGAGTGCGATATATTTTCTCGAGCTGTTCTGATGTGAACGGATTTATATGAAGAGCTGTAAAGCTCGGTTAAGGATCACAAAATCATTATAAATATATTTAACGTGTCTCCTTGATTTGTAACGATCATAAGTTGTTTAAAATGTATTAGGTTCTGGCTAACAAAACTGGTTTACTGATCGTTACGCTTTGTTATCGTGACAACTCAAATTGACTTTTAAGGGCTTCTTGTGTTAGAAAAAAAGTAGTTGTAAGATTTTCTTTTTGTTTGATATGCCTTTATGTAATTTATACCATTGAATGAAAGATGCACGAAGGCTTTATTCAAGTTCTAACTGGCATTGTGTGGACCGATCTTACTACGGGAAAAGGGGGGGGGCATAAAGGATTAATTATTTAATTGTAGTTCAAATTATGCAGATCGTTTATTCATTTTGAAAATGTATAGTGGTTTTCATTTACCTAAGCGCTGGAACTAAACGGATCCGAATATATAAATTATGTGGTTGCGGTGATAGTCCACTTCAATTTCAGTTTTTGCTCCGCTTCAATCGCATTAATGAGCTTTCGAGGTGTTAGGCAATGAGGCCCCGTGTCGTAAAAAAATATACCTGGAAATATGGACACTTCACGGATATCTTAAAACCATAAAAGTATATTACATTATTTCTACGATCTAATACTCGAAAATCCTATACTGATGAACGAACGCACCCCTGGGGTCCTAATACTCTTGGGGGAAAAGTCGGCAAGAAACCCGGCGGCTACAATTGGTGGGCACGAAGGCAATGTGCGGCGCTGGCCAAGCAGCACGGTCGCCAGATTTCTCGCCGACTTTCTCTCCGAGTGTTCAGATTAGAGCCCCTGCTTTGCATTTAGGTGCGTCTTGAGGAACAGGTTCCCAGCAACCGCACATTCGAAGTGGCAAAAAAAAAAAATTCAATGTAAATCTTTTATCGAATTACAAAACATCATCTTTGCCTCTTTGCTCCAAATACACTGAAGAATCAATTAACATTTTTCTTTGAAGCTTGATACCAATAAATGCTTTTGGAATCATCAAAGGTATCGATGTCGGGACGTTGCTACATAACCCCCATTGGCAGTTGACTCGGAAAATAAAAACAACTCACGAGAGCACTTTAGGAATAACGCTAAACGAAACTCACTTCGTGTGCCACCGACTTAAAGATGCTGCAAACAACGTGTTTTACAATGACTTAGTTTGCGTATTTTTCATAGACCAAAAACGGTCGACCGTTTTTGGTGTTCACAGATTTATTAGTACAATTTATGTCTAGCGATCGCTAAACATAAATTGTACTAATAAATCTGTGTCAAGAATAGATACCCCGATTACGTAGAATCACTTTGTTCCGAGTGTATATATCCGCAAACAAAACATTTTTGAAAAAAAAAAAGAAAAACAAAAAAAAAAAAAGAAATCACGATATGTCAGAAGCGTAAAATACGGTCCCTTTAAAAAACAGAATGATATTTCGACCCTACGGCGGGAATGAAACTGTTACCTCAGCATGAATTCGCGATGATGTGTTCCTAAAATGGCAAGCCGAACGTTGGATATACCTTGATTTTCTTTTTTTTTATCTCACAGTGCCGGGACGTGACCAGCTGGAACCTGACTGACCGGTGTCACTTTGTCCGCTCTGTACCTTCCTGCGAACCCAATGCGGGTTTCATCGACTACCTGGAGGTCATCTACTGCCTCCTGGGGCCGGAAAAGCACCTGTACACCTTAGGCATGAGCGTGAGTTAGAATCATCAATCACAGATCTAATGAAAAACTAAACGACTTATACAGGTTGCTCACCTAACGTTGTTGACTGCGCAAGCTGCTTTATCTACTCAATTTTAAGTCGCACTCCGCAGCTCGTTCACGTGGATCATTTTAAGCTCAGCTTCTTCACCCTTAAAATGTATCGTGCATTTCCTCTTCTCTTTTTCCAAGCTGCGCTGTCGTCTGGTTCTTAAGCATCATGTATATCTAAAGATTCATTCAAGCGCCTCGTAAATAAACAGTGATTCAGGTTCTGCAGCTTTCACGAGTTCAAATAGAGTCCCCGAAAGGAAGTGGGGATACGCACGATGTGGAATGTTTAACGATTCGTCCGGGGGCGCTCCCAGATAATCGGCGAGTGGATGTAATCAAGTGAATGGGAAACTTCCAAGCAGAGTCAAAGAGGTCAGTCTCTTTCCGATAGGGTGGTAGTTTACTCGCGTGGAAAACCTGTCCGGTCTGGTTAAAAGAGCATAATCGCCCACGATCCTTCATGCCGTTATCTTGGGCACTTGAGTACAGAAGCTGAAAACAGGTGTCGGCACTTCTTCCCCTCGTCCTCCCGCCTTTCTCCGAGTTATGACCATGACTCAACTACTTTCCCAAAGAAGGATTAACAATTCCCCTGGCCTGGAAACTATCCATCACGCTATGGGAGAGTGTTTCCTGCGTACAAAGTGAACTACCAAATGCGTTTCCTAAGTGCTATGAGAAAACCTATCGTAAGTAGGCCTCGTTCTCCGGCCGAAATTTAGTTTTAGAGTGCTGCTTTTAGGCACCCGTTTCCATGTTCCGGGGCGTCGCCGTAACCACTCTAAATTTAGCGGGAAAATTGACTTCACGTGACCTCAACACCAATTCGATTCCCCGTTAAAATTAGCGGGTATCGAATCCCTGTTGAGGTCACGTGACATCAATTTTCCAGTTAAATCTAGCGGAGAAACTGAATTTGTTCTTAGGTGACGGGACACCAAGTCATGAGACGTCGTTTCTCCCCTACATTAAACGGGGAAACTGAATCGGAGGAGGAGGGGAGAGGAGAAGATGGAGAGGGAGGAGAGGGTACGGAGGAGGAGGAGGATGGGATACCCTTCCCTCTGTACCCTCCCCTCTGTACCCACCTCTCCTTCCCTCAAGAGCTGCGCTTTAATTTTTGATTAGAGAGATTTCTAAACGTCTTTCATTTTTTAGAGCGCAGCTCTTAGGCGCCAGTTTTCGTGTTTTGCGGAGTCGGCGTCAGCGTGACCGCGCTGAATTTAGCGGGAAAATTGACTTCACGTGACCTAGACACCATTTCAATACTCCGCTAAATTTAGCGGGGAAAGTGACGTCACATGACTTCGTGTCGCGTTACCTATGAACAAGTTTAGTTTCGCTGCATGATTTAGCGGGAAAAATAACATCACCTGACCTCAGCACCACTTCGATTACCGCTAAATTTAGCGGTGAATTGGATAGCTGTTGAGGTCACGTCACGTCGATTCCCGCCTAAATTTAGCAGGGGATCGAACTGCTGTTGAGGTCTCCTGACTTCGATTTTCCTGATAAATCTAGCGGAGAAACTAATTTGTTCATGGTGACGCGACGCCACGTCATGTCCCGTCATTTTTTCCGGTATATCTCACGGGGAAACTGAATTGGTGTTAATGTCACGTGGCGTCAATTTTTCACCTAAATTTGGCGTGGAAATTGCGAGGAGGGGAGGGTACAGAGGAGGAGGAGGAGTGGAGGTTACGTAGGAGGACGGAAGGGTACACAGGAGGAGGGGAGAGGAGGGGAAAGAAAGAGAGGACGAGGAGGGGAGGGGAGAAAAAGGAGGGATATACCATCCCCTCCGTACCCTCCTCTCCTCCTCCTCAGGAGCTGCGCTCTAATTTCGCGTTAGAGAGATTTGTAAACGTGTTACATTTTTTTTTTCTGGGAATTTAGGGCCTTAAAAAGCCCAAAGAAGCCAAGTTGCAGCAAAACTTCACCTTCTTTCGCCAGGGTCTGGGTATCTTGACCATTATTCGCCAAACAAGTGCCAAAGCTAGGCTTCGCTGCTTGTAATTTAGCTGTCATCTCATATCGTTGGGCTTAAATTGCCGAACAAGTAGCAGAGTCGGGCTTTGCTTCTGGTTGTTAGGTTCTCATGTGGCCATTTTGGGCCTAAATTTCCAAACAAGCGCTAGATCTATACTTGTACTACTGGTTCCCTCGTACATACGTCACATGACTTCGTGTCTCTTTGCCTCAAGTTTGAATCTTTGCCTCAAGTCTGGGACTTTGGAAATTTTGTGTCGAGCCAGAAAAAAACAGAGAAGCGCAAAAGAACTACTTTAACACTGGCACAAGCTAACGCCTTGGAACAAGACCGTATTCGGTCAGAGGATTTCCCCAAGAATTGTCAAGTTTGTACCGGTGTTTTTCCCGCTTGCTACCTGGAATCAGTTCGGAAAGGCATTAATACTTCTCCGGCATTTCAAGAGACAGCGTCGAGGGCAGTTACGACAACATTAGCAAGCCAGCCAGTAACCTTTGCTTCACAGCATCTTTCTAGCGTGTGTTGGTGCCTCGAAGACATGTTTAAAAGCCGCCATCTTGTGCCTTTGATACCCTAAAAGATTAGGCGTATACACTTCGCGAATGCCCACAGTGCAGACAAAGGCCCAGCAGATGTGTGAGCCTAACTCAGTAGTATATTTTTTCTGTGTGAGTGATCATCCATAAAAAAACTCTTTGCAAGGTGAGGGCTCGCGCATGAACCTTTTAAGAAGCCGCAGATGTTTGTGAAATAGACTATATTGCGGCGCTTCCAAATACGCGTTCAACGTTGCTGACACACGCGCAGATGCCGAATCACGGAGCATGAAGACAGTGGGGCTTGAAGGGGTTAATTAACCGAAATATAGATTTTGCAACATAAGGCCGCAGAAACGTTGAACGGGACCCCACGAACTGCAAGACCATATTTATAGATCGATATATCAAACGAATGGCCGTATGTTTGGAAAATTAGGGCGCGATAAAGTGAGGACTCTGTCGTCACGATCTTCCTGGCACACTTGAGAATGAGGGTAAGAAGGCTCGCTTCCTCCTCCTTGTTGCAAGTCGTGTTGCAAGTTGCGCCAGGGAGCGGTGACACGATAGAAAGGCAGAACAAGAGACTTAATATGGCGATCGGCTCAGAGCCGGGTACGTTCTAGCCACGGGCGCAAGGCACGAGTTCATGCGCCCGAGCCGCGGAGCTTTATCTGCTCGGCTGCTCAGTGTAGCGCTATCCAACATCTCCCCCATACAGAAGAGTCAAAGTCTTTGGGGAGCCTTGACGCATCGGCCACTTCTCGTGTGTGAATGAAGATTGCCTTCACATTGTGTACGTGGCGCTTGGGCATCTTCGCTGTCAACGACTTCCGCCTCCCGGGCATTGGCAGGAAAAGGAACAAGATGAGTTCGGTTACGTCGCACAACCCCGTTGTCAGTGTCTACGAAGTAAGACCTGGGTTCCTCTGCTGGTCTCTGCACTGTACCTTTCTGCTTGATGTCAGTGATCCAAACTTCATCTCCATTTAGGACTTCAGGCAGTGTGCGTACGCCATGCCGTCGATTGAAGTCTTTCTTCTGGTTTTCTCGGTAGAGTTCTTCAAAGTCGCGAAGTTTTCTCATGTCTGGCATGTGAGGCATGAGCATCTCGGGAACAATAGGGAGCTTGGTTCGTAAACGTCGACCCATAAGTAGTTCAGCGGGGCTGTAGCCGTTCTTCAGCGGAGTCGACCTGTAAGAGAGAAGGGTCAAGTATGGGTCTTTCGTTTTTTCCATTGATTTCTTGATGCATTTCACGGCTGCTTCCGCAAGTCCATTACTTTGGAGAAAATACGGGCTTGAGGTGGTATGCTTGAACCCGTATTCTCGAGCAAATGTAGCGAAATCTGATGACGAGAACTGAGGCCCATTGTCGGACACTACCACCTCTGGAATGCCGTGGCGAGCGAAGATTGATTTGCAGTGGTTAATGACGGTAAGCGATGTGAGTTTCTCAAGTCGTGCTATCTCGGGGTACCTTGAGAAATAATCTGTCATGATCAACCACCAGTGGCTGTTGAAGTAGTAAAGATCCATTGCAACGCGCTGCCATGGTCGGTCAGGAAATTCCGTGTTTAGAAGCGGCATCTTGCGATTGCGCGTGGTTTTGATGCATTCGTTGCATTGCTTTACTGTGGCAGTTATCTCTGCTGCTATTGTTGGCCACCAGACACAGTCCCTTGCTCTTGCTTGTGTTTTCGTGATGCCGAAGTGGCCTTCGTGAAGGAGGTGCATGATCTCTTTTCTGCACGAGACAGGAACGACGACACGGGCTGCATAGAGGAGCAAGTCGTCTTCTACGGTGAGCTGGTGTCGGTACTCAAAGAAAGGTTTCAGGTCTTGCGGCAAGTCTCTTCTGGATGGCCACTGCTTTGAGCTTAGTTTTCGTAGCTGGTTACCGACTGTGTCCGATTTTTGGCCTTCTTTTAGCCATTGTAGGCAATGGTCCTTGACTGGGATAGCTTTGTTCAAGGAACAGACAAAGGCTTCGACGTCTTTTTCAAGGTCTGTGTCCCCTGTCTGTTGTAGAGGTGCTCGGGAAAGTGTGTCAGCAGCTAGTAGGTCCTTCCCTGGTACATATTCTACGCTGTATTGGTAGCGCATCATCCTCATCTTCAGCCGCTGGAGTCTGAGTGTCAAGTCGTCAAGAGTTTTCGACATGAGGATGGGGACGAGCGGCTTGTGGTCTGTCTCCAGCTTGAACGTTTTTCCAACCAGGTAATCCTCGAACTTCCCGCATGCCCAGACTAAGGCAAGAGCCTCTTTCTCAATCTGCGCGTAGCGCTTTTCGGTGTCTGAGAGCAATCTTGAGGCGTATGCAATGACAGCGAACTTGCCATCTGTTTGTCGCTGCCGGATCAGTGCTCCAAGTCCGAAGGAAGAAGCGTCTGCGCTGACGACTGTGACCTTTCCGGGGTCGTATACGCCCAGTACGGGACGAGAAGATAGTACTGTCGTCCATTTGTCAAATGCTTGTTGCTGTGGAGAGTCCCAAAGAAACTCCTGCTTCTTCGACAACAAGGATGAAAGTGGCTGAAGAACCTCTGAAAGGTTTGGCACGAAGCGGGCAAGGTACGTGGCCATACCCAGTACTCTTTGCTCATCGTTGGCGGCATCCCACTTCTGACACCATGTTGCAAGTCGTGTTGCAAGTTGCGCCAGGGAGCGGTGACACGATAGAAAGGCAGAACAAGAGGCTTAATATGGCGATCGGCTCAGAGCCGGGTACGTTCTAGCCACGGGCGCAAGGCACGAGTTCATGCGCACGAGCCGCGGAGCCCTATCTGCTCGGCTGCTCAGTGTAGCGCTATCCAACACTCCTCACTTCGGTTCACCGGCTCGAGGGGGCGAAGCGAGGAGGAGAGGGAATGAGAATCGTGACGTCCCATGTCTCGTCGGCCTCGTCGGCCGTGTTCAATCGCGCATTCCTTTTCTGAATATCAGGCCATCCGCTTGTGATATCGCTGTATGAGTGGTGTTTTTGAGTTCTGCAGTGCCCCGCCTATCGCTGCAGCCCTGTTTTGTGAGCTCGAAATTCGGGTTCAGTGTCCCTTTAACGATCCTTGCAAGCACACACATGTAGAGAGAGTTAGCGAGATGTGAGGTCTAGTGCTGTCACTCATCCCAACAAGCTGGTACTGCTAAAAGAACAGGAATTACTTCTGTCCAAATGAACGACCAAGATGTGTTATAGATATTACAAATACGTATCAAGGGATAAGCAAGTAATAGCTGTAAGTTTCTCGGAGATGGTTTGATCCATACAACGATTAAACATGTCTGACGGAAGGCGTTAGGCTGAAAACGATGGAGCTTTTTCCGCACTTAGCGCTACATTCCTTATTTCAAGGGTGAGCAAAGATACTTATATGTGCCCTTGAAATCAGGTACCTCTTTTTCTATCAAACATTGCACTTTTCATCTAAAAATATATTGTTGTTTTTCGATAGATTTTATAAGGACTGCTTCGCGCAATACGCGCAAAACCTGGTTTTGTTTTCCTTGAGTTGAGGAGGTCTATTTGGGTCTGTACAAGGCCATTAGAACTTAGCGCCTTCCTTGGGAAGGCAATAGTAATACAGTGTATTTCGGGCCTTAGTCGGCACCAGGCGTATAGTCCGGAGGTATAAATTTTGCTTCAAAAACAAAAGCTTTTCCTTCGATTTCCACACCCAGTGCTTAGCCCACATCTGGCGCTTAGCCCGCATGAAAACTATTCCTATGTAGCGCACATTGACAATTGCCTGCTTCATTAGTTCACCAGGAAAGGTTCCTTGTTAACCTTTCCTTAAATCAGGTCCCCAACTTTCTTGGACATCGACGCCTCGGCGAGTGCATTAAAATAAGGATTTCAACTGAACAACAAACATCGTAATGTTCCCAAGGAATATTTGAATGGCAGTTATAAAATATCCATAAGCAGGAATTAAACTTTTGGACGCCTGTAAATTTTACTCACTGCTCTAAAATTTTTTTTGGAATCAATTTTATGGGCTACCTTTACATAATTATACATTTTTTATTTTTTTTACAAAAAATCGTAATGTTCACAAGGACTGTCATTGCCTGGGTATGCGAAAACGCAAATCAAAGTGAATTTTGATATTTTCTTCAAAACATTTTAATCCTCGGAATGTCCCAGAAATATGGCCATGTAAAAAAATGTTTATTTACGTACTCTGTCATTTACGAATTCCGTTGTGTCCCGTCATATTGAACAATCTGGAAAATAAGTTATTTTGTGGTTCTCACCTAGAGGTAGTCAGTGTCACGTAAGCTAAATTTTACACAGGGCCTGTCCGGAAAATACGGTACTAAGGTGACGACACCTTATTATAGAGTGTTCAATATGTATGGTCACGGACGCGGTTTCCTAACCCCGTGTCTTTATTGAGAGTTCCTCGTTACACGCACAACGTTGTCAGCATTGAATTATTTTCTTATACACGTCGCCCATGGAAAGAGAGCATTCGTTCGTGACTGGAACCAGTGCCTGTGGAGAGTTGTATTAAGCGATTTCAAGTTGTTTTAGTAAATGTCATTGTCTTAGCTTCCGTCACTGAGATGTGAAGGACTCTCAGCGACGTTGAAATAATTTAGATCTGCTTTTGCCGCCTGATTTGCAGACAACGGTGCCATTAGAGAGCCTGAGAGGCCATTTAGAATCATCGACCGGACGCTTAGCTTTAAGAATATTGCACTGAAAGTTGAGCTCAGGGACTGCTCGAAAGTGCTGAGAAGATTTGGGTGATATGGATATGAAGGACATTTTGAAAGCCAAAGGGTAGTAGTGGCCTTATATTTAAACCAGGTAGGGATTTTTGAAGTACCAAAACGAGCCCTATTACACATGACATACTCCGTAATAGGCCTTATTCAGAAAAACGGCGAACTACTGCGAAAAACAGGTATCAGAGTTAATCTCTTTGCAATGCTATGCCGATTGTTCTTGAAAGAGGAATCCCTCTAACATGGCTACCTGCGTTGCACCATGCGATCGATAAATAATTGTTAAGCGTGTGCCTCTTATAATAATTTATTTGTTTCATATTGTCCCTGAAGCCATTGCGTCGGTAGGGGGGGAAGAGTATCAATGCCTATACAGGTACCTAAGTATATTATTTCGGTTTTGAAAAATTAAACAGAAACACACTTATTCAGAACTAACCATTGATATAAAAAAGACATTTATAAAATTGGACCTCTTACGTGTGTGCAAATAGGGGTGTTACAATTCGCATAAACCGAGGGGTTATTTCTGTTTTGTGCATCTGTGAATCCTTTGCCTATTTTCGCTAGGAGTTCACAGCTACATTTTGAGAAATGGAGAACCTAGTATAGCAAAAAGTGTAATTTTGTTTTAATGATACCTATAGGAAATATTAAATTACCTTGTGATTCTATGCATTTCAGGTGGTGTGGCTGTTAATGCTGTTCGTCGCTCTCGGAATTACATCCGGAGACTTGTAAGCAAACCTATTTTAAATAAAGCGCGCCATCCGGATTTAGCTATATACTGGTATGCGGCGCTGCCCGAATCGCATGAAAAAAAAGTTTTTTTTTTCAAGTGTTATGTGCACTATTTTATTTCCTTGGTTTTTTGGTTTCTTAAGTACGTTAACGCTGTATCTAAGCACTGAATATTTGTCAATAAAAGTAGGATGAAGTGCCAATACTACTACACCTGCCTTTAGAGACAATGTTCATTATGGTATCTTTCATTTATTTCCAACAGCATTGCACCTTGTAGATTATTTATCTTTACGAACCGCCTAGGCTTTCTGCATGCTATCCTTTCTCTGAGAACATGAATTTGTAGTCTAAGTACTATCTAATGGAAAAACTCAAGCGAAGTTACCTTCTTTATGCAGTGCAAAGGTCTAGTGATCTGCCGGAGTCGTTACTAAGGTCTAACCCGATGGCGTCAGCATATTTTTGTCGCAACCTGCGAAATTCCCAGACATCATAATGGGGTTGGACTTTAATATCCAGGCTAGGATATCTTGGCTAGTGTTAGCTTTGACGAGTGTTCAAATATCCGTAAGTTTAAATTTTTACACGAGTAAAAAGGGAAGGAAACTGCAGTAGAAATGTTAATTCCTTGGTATGTATAAAATGCGATGTGCAAAACGTCCTGAGATTCAACAACTAAATATTTAAAGGGCGTTTATTATGAATTTTCAACGTTTTTAGTTCGCACGTCACTATACAAAAATAATTCCATTTACCTCCTTCAGTCCTGTTACATTCCTCAAATTGGCTTTCATTTTTCGATTGGCGACGGTGAAACCTTACGCAATATTTGCTCAGCGCGATCACGTGCGTTTTTGTTTTATTCGTAGTTCGGAAGGGAATAGCCATGGTTATATTTTATCTATTTTCAAAGTTCAATATGTGTGATACAGCACCCAATAGTGAAGGATACGGTAATGAAGCAATATATGTTGACCTTGTTGTACATTGATTGATTTTGTCACAAATGTATATGCTGCGCTTTTAAGTGCTCATCGTCCCCATCTTTACTCGTTCGTTTGATGAAAATGCCGTAAAAAGCACTGATGCATTCCACACTTGCAAGAAACGCAATGCTGATTTTTCTGCGTTTATTTCAGCCTCACACCGGCGTTGTTCGTCATCTCCAAGACCCTGCACATGTCGCAGAACGTAGCAGTATCCTTTCCGGCTACTTTTGAAGTCTAGGCATAAAAAAACACCAGTGAACATAAACATTTGTTATTAGCCATGCTCACTTTACTTTATTGTTTGATTCAACTACTTCGCAAAAAAAATTGAATTAGTTGCTCAGTCGGAGCACATGTATTTTCTTTGACTCTTCACATGGCGTAACCTTGCTTGCCTTTGGAAATGGATCCCCAGACATATTCTCATCCCTGGCTGGGATAAGACAAGGATCCTACGAGCTTGTTATCGGCGGCCTAATAGGTAAAGCTGTTTATCTCTTTTTTATGTTTTTTTTTTTTGGAAGCACGTTTTTTTTTCGCTAAGGGTAAACTTTGAGATGACTAAAAAAATTATTTTAACGATTTTAAATATAATAATAAAGATATTAGTAATAAAGTCGTGTTTCGTTTATATGGACCACGCTAATAGGGATACTCCGATATATAGGCACCATTTTCGGTGAAAAACTGGGAAAATACAGGCATTCTTGTGTCGTTGCTATGGACAACTCACATTATGAGCTATTTTTTGGGGGGAACGGAGGTGTCCATCATAACGAGACATCGTTATTTCATTTTCCGACAAAAATACACAATGTTGTGGAGACGACTAGAAAGCAAATTGTTGAAACAGCTTGGCTACTCCCAAGCCCCCAAGATACAGCAACAGAAAAGCATAATAAATAAAACACAGAAATGTACATGTAACCAAACCATGAATGAATATATTTACGCAATATAAAAATATACAAAAAAGCACCCACAAAATCTTAAAATAAACTTTGCAGAAAAAAGGCAACATAAAAATTTGGAAAAAAATATGCAGCCATTAATTTTTTTGATGTAAACATTTTATGCGAAACAAAGATATGGGTTGTTGGGTTTTCATCTCCAGCTAGTTACACACTTTTTGTTAAATTAAATATAACAAAAAGCTTGCCACAATGTCTGTTTAAATGCAGAACAACGGTACCAACTAAAGTTTATGTCTAGATATAATGTGGAAAATTTGTGTAGAATCAAGCATGAAAATTTCAGTAGACAGAAATGATGACATAACGTATGTGATTTGTTATTTCCAGGTGGTGGCATCTTCGTGACAACTGTCGTTGCCGGCTCGGTGTTTCTGACCCAACCTTTTAAGCTGGCAGCCAGGCCCTTCTTGAGAGATTGCCTCTTCTATACATCAGCAGGCGTTTGGGCTTTTTATCTCTTCTACACAGGATCCCTCTCAATCGCTCATGCAATCGGTAGGTGTCTTTTGTCTCATTCACGTAATGCTCTATTTACAGTGGTTCTCAACCACTGATGTCTTGCGGACCGCTTGTGGTCGGCGGATATGATGGAGGACCCCGTTCGGGGTGCGGGGAAATGAAAGGTATAGGTTAATTATAATATTGATTTAATAAATGAATTAACTAAGGGCTAGTGTGAAGTGCAATTCGCTCATTGACATACACACAAGAAAGCTCACCCGAAAATAGGAACATTTCTTATGAATCTGAATAAATACAACTTTTATTGCCGCGCTTCATTGATGAGACAAGGCTTCGCGGACGTCTAGAATTCCTTCGCGGACCCCCATTTGAGAACCACATCTCTATTATTTTTAATTGGCGTCAGAGTAGCTATTTTTCGTATGTAACAACAGAGGCATGCTCTTCATCGTCAGCATGCTCTTCATCGTTAGACAGCTATATATCCAGAAAGCAGATTTAATAGAATAATATGGATTTGTATGACTTGGTGTTCTCGCATAAAACTCTGGAGAACCCCAGCCAAAGCCCAGGTTCCTTCTTAAAAAATAAAGTGCTGGTATAGTAATGCAGGGGTCAACTCTAAGGAGCGATAACATACATACCCGGTTTTTCACATGTGCTTGATTTTTTTTCAGGATACTCGTCTCAAGTCTCAATAATAAAGCACGGTTTGGCGCATAACTATGAATGATAGTGCGTTTGCATTAAAGCCAATACAATTTTGCAAAGGAAAGAAAAATATTATTTTGTGTTTGACAGATGTCCTACCATATCCGGATTGCCTGAGCTGGAAAAGTATATGTTTGAATAATGCCAATGTGTTCCAAATGTGCCTAAGTCTCATAGCTCGTCACAATTTTCAAAACAATGTATTGCACTTATGCAAGAGGAATATTCGTAAAATTTCCCGAAAATAATTTTTACAATTACACACTACAGTGCACAAAACTAAACAGCCCAGGTTTAAGAAAGCCCTGCATGAGACTCCCATTGATATTTAATTAGGCTCTATGTAATCAATTTAATTTTTTTTTATCTTCCCTACCCCGACAGGTTTCATCTGTCTGTATGGCGCTTACATACTTTTGGTCGTCGTGAGTGGAATCCTCTACCAAAAATACATCTGCACGAATGAGAAGTCAGAGGAGAAAGAGAAGAAAGAGGAAAAGTCACCGGAGAAAGGCAGGTTACAGCCCATCCTTGCCTGAGCTGAGCAGAGAGAAAGTCGCACCAGGGTCTGCGCCACACGCTCGCCATGTGGTGGGACACAGGCACCCGCGTCTGGGCTTTCGGCCGTCCGCGTCTTGGTTGCGGCGGAGGTGATCACTTCCGTCGAATCCGCCGACACTGGCTGCTCAAAGAACGGATCCGGCGTGCGTGTGTGTGTGATTGCACACGCAGAGTAAGGTGCTTCGGTCGCCTCGTTCTTTCGCGTGTTGCCACGCTACCTTGCTTGCCCTTGCAGCTCACCTCAAGAGTTGTAAGCTCTCTGAGTTTCTCTCTTACTCAACTCGAATCGCGAGAGTTCTTACTTGGGTTATGTTCTTTGTTCCTTTATTTGCATACCCTAACCAGATTCACTGTTCACCTGTTCATTGAAAGTTTATTTTGATCGGTTGTGCTGTTCTTGCTGGTGGTGCTTGTTGGAGACGCATGGATCTTGGTGCTTTTTGCAAATGCATGTTGCGAGGAAACCACGAAATCAAACTTAAACCTCTTCTCATTTCAAGAATGATCTCGAAATTGAGCTCTTTTGTTGATAATTCACCACGGTGTTGAGTTTCTGCTTCGTGGAGCCTCCCGTGGAAGAATTTCAGGAGAGCTCGAGGAAGTAGTTTTAACATCGGGTTTATTAGAACTCGGCACACCCTTGAAGCATGCAAAACTTTGGCTGCAAGTGCGTGGATTTCCAAGCAATAGGGGGCTTTTATGTTTTGCGTTTTTGTGAAAATATTAAGTTTCTTATTCCCTGAACAGTTTTCTGAGACGTAAATACATGCTTTAGAGTATAGTGGTAATTATAATACGATAACATTTTTGAAGCGATTACATTTACTGGAGCTTAGATTACCTCACTCTTTATAGACTGGTTGTCAAACGGTTTTAAAAAGCACCACACACATCTGTTCATAAAGCGTGTCACAAATGTACGCACAATATTAAAAGTCAATATTGAAATAAATTATAAGTTATTTATATATCTCTTCGTAAACCCTCTAGTAATCAGTACACTTCATTTTTGTGAGAAATGTCACATTAAAGGTTTTTTTCTAGTACAGGAGTGTTGTTCTATGTTCTGGGCATGTTCTGCGCTTGAGACTACACAACTATAGAGCAAGGCAATGCGGCAACTAAACACCCTGACTGTAGCTGATTTATTCTTTGATCGATCTTGATTTTTGAAAACAACTACTAAACAAAGAGAACTCAAATATTCGCATAAATGCTCAACTCCAGAATGAATGTGTGCAACATTTTGTGCCGAAGCAATCTCAAGCGCAGTACTTATGCTTTAATTGTTTCCGGACTTTGTCTTCCAGGACCGCTGCTAGTCAACACCGCCGATGTGTTGTGCTCCCGCCAAGAACGTTATTACTAAAACTAGTCAACGTAAAGCGTACACAAAGAGTACGTACGTATACACACCAAACCTGACCTTAGCAGGTTTGGGCCTCCCGTGCTATGAAAAAGGTGCCAGTTGCTTACACGCGCACACTGCAATCTATTCAGCATAAACGGACTGCGAGAAGATCGACACTAAGACACGCACGACACAGCGGGTCCCTCGAAGCCCCAAAGCTCACCCCGGAAACGACTGCGTTTGGCATGTTCTATGTCTCGATCTTCTCGAGTCCCTTTATGGTGGATCCTTTTCCGCGCTCTTGGCATTTCACGTTGCAGCTGCCATTTTCGTCCCACGCACCGTAAGCATCGATCTTCTCTAATCTCGTCATCCATCGATCCGTCCCGCCTGCAGGAATGACCTTGCCCGCAACAAAGCATGTTTTCAAAAAGAGACGACCTGTATTCGACGACCCCGAACGGAGTTTTGTTGTACCCATAGGTAAGACCGCCTTTTTAACTTTCTATTAAGAAAAATGTGGCACTTCAGGATGGCAACCGGTGGCTCAGCGGTTCATTTACATCAGTTTCTAAAAACTGAAGTAGGTGCGCACGAGGTGAAGACATAATCTCAGCAAATTCCACAAACACAAAACAAAAAAACAACGAATAAAAAAGCCATAGCGCTGGGATATACGCTAAAACAAAAAGGAAATGCTCAAAAGTTTTTGTTCATGTTATAACAGACATACTCATTTTCTCTCCCTCACTTTATTGCTATCGTTCAGTCATTTTTTTTTTAAATTCAATTGAAGGGCCACGTGTGCTCATATTCTGAACACTAACTAGCCCCACAGTGTTACAAACGCCACTTTTTGTACGCCAAAGGCTATCATATCTCAAACATTTTTTTTTTTGCGGTGAATCTTCTGGATCACCTGCAATATGAGCTTTTTTTTTTCTTTTTAACGCTTTTTGAAATGTTTGCGTAATTTGCGGTTGCGAACACCGCTTGTTGCTGATCGCTGCAGTAAACCAAGACGCTAATAAAAATAATAGTTGAAGATCTCACACGATATTAAACTCGACTTTTTCTTTGTTCTCTATCGCTTGTTTCCAGCGTTTCGTTACGTGGACGCCGACGAACGCCGCGAGCTGGAAATCCCAATCAACAACGACAACAACAACAGCGAAATAGAACCGGACCGAAGCGTTTATTTCATCAATTTGGGAGCCGACTTCCTGGAGGAGGAGGTGGACGGTAAGACCTGCGTTGCTGGAATCTCGAGCCGTTCCACGGACGCTCATATATCCGAGACCCTTCGATGCCACACCGTGAACATTTGCGTGCACGCTCTATCTTCCGTTCATCCCTAAGCTGACAGTGCGATGCAACCAGGTTTTCGTTCGACCAGTGATACGCCCGTCTTTTGCCACGGGATCAGGCTCCCGCTCATCCTACGGCTCAGAGAACGGGGTCAGCAGACGAAACGGAGGCGGTTGATTGGTTCGGCGAGCGCGCGGCTACCCCGCACTGTCAGCTTAGGGATGATCAGAGCATAAGGCCTCTCCATTCGAGCAAGCGGGCAAGTAATGAGTTTCTCTCGCGGCGCGGAACCCCGGGCGCGTTCTGAAATGAATTGCGCCGGACGAGCCAGCCAGCTCGTGATTGCGAGTTGTTGACGGAAAGAAGCGATACTTTAGCAGAGCGTCTGGGTCTAATTTGAACTTTCGGATCCGTTCAAAGTTCGTGTTTCCGAAATCTGATGTTATTTTAGCTTAGGCGAACATTTCTGCGAAAACGCATTCTGTTGATGTTATGGAACTGGCAATTGTCGAAACGTTTTTTTTTTCCTTCTGTTTTACGTGCAATATATATATATATATATATATAACGGGCATGGTGGCGGGAGGCCGAAGGCGTGGGTATATAACTGAGATAACTAATATATATATTTATATATATATATATATATATATATATATATATATATATATATATATATATGTATATATTGCGCGTTTTCACGTTCGTTAATAGGCAAACATGTTTCGAAGAGCTCTGAATGTGCCCATATTCCTGCACTCCGTATAACCTGTTGATTAATGTTCTCCCGTTTTTGAAATATATGATATGAAAGAAAATGAAACGCCATATGAAATATATGGCGTTTCATTTTACGGCTACGATAGTCAGGTCAGGGGAAAGCGTGAAAATATACCAAACCGACTTTCTTTCCTCAACTATCTTCAGTTGCCAATCAAGCAATACACTCTTCTTACTCATATTGTGTTGCAAGAATAAACAAAACACAATTTTTATGTTCGATAATTTAACTTTTTTTTGCCTTTCCGGAAACCTTGAGGCATTGGCCTTGTTGATTTCTACTGTTTTCATGGCAACAGTAGTTATGGGTACCTGCAACATCTAGGTTGAAACAACACACCCAATTTTAGGAGCGGGCACTTATTAAATTGTCTTATTAAGTATGTCGAATGATTTGCTCTTAATCACTGGTTTGGTTAACATTCCAATCCTGATATTGTTCAGATATTCCTTACACTTGTAATAACCTTATAATCCTTAATGAAATCGCTTGCTGCTCGTGTTTCCCTCGTTTATATAGGAATAATCTCATAGGCATATGACATTCGTGCATTAACGTGTTTCTTTTTTTTTTTGGCATTTCTGTTTTAGTTTTTGTAACTTTTGGAAAGTAATTTTATTTATTCCTATGTTTTTCTCTAGTGGATACCCTCACCATTGTAGTGGAGCACCCTTTGAGGCGAGGCTCAAGCGGAGATAAACTGCAGGTCCCAGAGAACTCCAAAAAAAGCTCGAACGCCGTATTCTGGGAAGTTGTTTCCAAGTTGATTTCCGTCAATATTGACGGCGACGTTGAGGAGCCGTTCGTGATTCGCCTTCTGAGCTACTTCAAGGTAGGAACACTCATTGTTGAGGCGTCCTCAACGAAACGGGTTAAGCGTTGAACCGGTCTATCTTGTAATACAGGGAACACATTTGGCATCATCTTTCGCCCTCAAGATTTCCCTAGCTTAGAATTCATTCGATGACTTGTTTCAAGTACCGGTATATTTGTTTGGGAGCCGCTTTATTTTGGCTCGAACAAATGATTCGTATTTTCAAAGGCATAAAAAATATATATGAAGATTGTGGGAACGCATTCTTTCTTGTTTCGGGGCAATAAAAAAATATGTATCAATAATATTGCGAGCAATCAAAGTGTAATAAGATTAAAATGTTCCGGCTATAAAACAAAAACAAGTCTCTCCTTGAATTTCCTACAGAATATGTAGGAATGCATTAGGTTTTTAATCACATAAATTGTTAATAGTCGTGTTTTTCTTTGTATTTGGTTTGTATTAGTATTCTTCGCGTATAACGAGTACGGAGTGTTATTTGCTTGTAACGAGCTGGATTTTGGTTGTGAGTGAGTTTAAATAATGTTACTGGTGCTTAGCTGTTTATGTATGGAGTGACGAACTCTATATTTATATATAATATATTCCACTTGTCAGAACACAACATCTTGTGGTAGGATAGATAAATGAGCTAGTTGGTACATAACTGGATGGAAAGCGCCGAATACACAAGGAAGAATGCTCTGCGATATATTTTTGGCTGAACGGGATAAGGGAATACGTAAGGATATCGAAAGATTGGAGGAATTCAATATGTGTCGATATGTGGATGATTTCTCGGCGCTTGCATCGAAGTCCATTACTGTTAGCAATAACTTAATCAGCGATGGGCGGGATTGTTTTAACTTGAATTCACATGGATCGACGTTCACCCATGAAAGAATGACGAAGGGCAGGCTGCAGTTTTTGGATTTGAGCCTCAACTTCGAAGGGGACCATGTTTGTTGGAAATATAAGCCGCGAACTAAGAAAGGGGTTCTTCCCCCCAGTTCTGCGCAATCCAAACTCGTTAAAAGGAAAAGAGCATCGTGCCTAATGAGAGCCTCGCTGGCAAAATCATGTGACCATGTCGCGGATGAAAGCGTCCTCACGCAGGTGAATCGTCTAAAACGCGGAGGGTACCCCGATCGCTTCTTGGGGGAAGTAGCGGATAACCTTGTCTCCAATATGAAGAGAAAAGATGACGATCATATTCCTTCCAGAGAGAGGGAGACAAACGTCTCTATTGTGCCGATTCGGGCTTTAAAAGGTGAAGGGCTATGTAGGGGTGTCTGTGGCGAGATCTGTAGACACCCTGGAGATATGCTCCAGGAGGTGACGCCGTGTGAGCTCGCAGTTTGAGGGCTGAGTGAGCCATCCCTTCCAGGGGGTGTGGGGTGGGGAGAGTGTGCGGGGGGGGGGGGGGTGTAGGGAGAGGAGGGACTGGGAGCGTGGACACTTCCAGAAGACGTGTTCATTGTTTGGGTAACCTCCGCAGGCAGAACAGGAGGGGTGCCCCGGTAGGTTGAGTATACGGTGTATAATGTGTGGGGTTGGGAGAGGGTCGGTTCGGGCCTGTCGTAGCGTGACAGACTGCGATCGAGAGAGGGAGCGGAATAGGGCAGGGAGGGGTGACCTAGAGAGGAGCAGGCGATGCATGTTTTGTTTTCGGGAGCGACGGAGGACACGTTTTTGGTCCTCAGGCAAATACTGGGTTGGCCAGGAGATCGCAGGCCCCGGAGTGAAATTAACTTGGGCGAGCGCGTTTGCTCGAACGTTATCTGCGATGGCTCCATGGCCAGGTGTCCAGATAATGCCAAGGGACATTTGGGGCATCAGGTCGAGGGTGGCAGTTATGGTGGATAGGGAAAATGGATGGATAGCAAGTGTGTGTAGGTTTCGAATGCTTTGCTGCGAGTCGATTACGGCGATGTGTTGAAGGGGGGAGGGGGAGAGTGTGGAGGGGAGCTTGATGGCATCAGCAATTGCTTGGGTTTCAGCATGAAAGGCGGAGGGGACGTCAGTGTAGTTTTGTGTTTGGGAGATAGGTATGGTGGGGGGAGTAGAGGGCGGTGCGTGCGGTGAGATCGCGGGGGATGAGGTGGGCGTCGGTGTAGATGACTATTCCTTCCAGACAACTAAGTAGACCCGGCGGTGATTCCTTACATTCACAATCTATCGCGCAATCTAAGAAAAAGTCGCGGCTCATTTTGAAGTGCCAGTGGTGTTTTAAGCGCCACACAAGCTGCCTCATCTGTGTTCGAAAATAAACAATCAAACGAGAGAGGGTAAAGTGTGTCAAAAGAAACACGCTAAGCAATACGTGGAGTGTGCAACGTCAGTGGTATCTAACATACCAATGAAGTGCGGGAAATCGTATGTGGGCCAAACAGGGCGTTGCATAAATGAAAGGGCCAGGGAGCATGCCTGGTCAGTGAAACAGTCCTCGTCGGGCAATCTTGCGGTGCACTGTGATAGGTGCCCATGTGGCCCGGAATCGGAGGAAACAACAGTTCTGGGGAAATACACAAACAAAACAGCGCGAGAAATACATGAGGCATTCCGCATAAGAGAGCAAGGGGAGGGCCTGCGTATTAGTGCTCCGTCACTGCACTTAACAAATCAAGAGTTTTTCTTTTTGAGCCAACACCCAGATCGACGATATTAATAGTCAATGTTTGTTTCAGTAAACCTTCAGTTGCGAGTGCGCTTCGTCTCTGTCCCCTTCTTCGTCCTTGTGTATTCGGCGCTTTTCATCCAGTCTTGTGGTACATAGTATGAGTAAATGAACAGGCTACGCACATTGCAAGCTTATAGGCAATTACATTTCTTAAAACACAGTCAAGCATTAACAAAAACATAACTCAGTTAGTACAGTAAATACTGTAGAGTCAGGACAGTCAACATCGCATAAAACATATGTGCCACTTCTCGCGGTCTCTGACAGTCTGCTATTTTTTTTCCGGCAGATCCCTATGTACCTGGTTTTGGCAATCACGACACCCGTGGTTGATATCACCAAGAAGAAGAATAACTGGTGTCGGCCACTGAATGCCTTGCACTGCATCACTGCTCCAGTTTTTGTAACATTCGCTCTCGGAAGTAAGATATATTTCTTTTTTTTTTTCGTGAAAAAATCTGTTTTCATATTTACTTTAATCGATATTACATCTATTTCACTGATGTACTCAACATCAACACGAACTTTCAGACACAAAAGTCGGGACCAATGCAGGAATGCTGTTTCTGTCGATGAGCTCCAGAAGTATGTAATGTGTGGTCGTACTAATATCAACGTAGGAAAACAAACCATGGTCCCGTTACATTATTCAAAACTTGAGGCGTTCCTTCCTTGAATATTAATTAGAAGTTCACAAAGGCAGTGCAGATGCGTAACAGCAAACAAGATCTGCGGCGTCAAAACCGCGCATGCGAAAGAGTTGAGGGGCTTTTTTAGAACTGCCTGCAGTTTACGAATCTGAAATCCAAGAATTTTTCGAGATGTCCGTCATTTTATGCTATCGCTACGGATGAAAGTGTTGACCCCTGTCAATGGGGACAGAGCAACAAAGGGGATCAGGCATCGCCCTCCTGGGGAGCTCTTCTGCTGCTAATTGATATATCGCGCGCCAAGTATGGTTCTCCTTAAGAACTAAACAGTGTGAGAACCGGGGAAACAAACAAATCATCCGCGAGTGTTTATTTCTTCTTTCGGCAATAAAGATGGCCCTCGTGTCTCTAACGCCGTATAGTGTTATGAAGTTGAAAGCTGAGCTAATTTGTAGTCTTTGCGACTGGTGATCAATATCAACGCAAACGATAAGGACAAAGGAGGAATATACACGACCGGAAAAGCAGTGGCTCGCCATCAATTCTTCTTTTTTCTTTACTTATAAAAAAAGAATAAAGAAAATAAAACAAGCAACGCAAAAAACTAATACTTGCGAGTCAGCGCGTGTCCTGTCGTGTATGTTCCTTTTTTTATAATTGTCTTATACGCTGTTCTTCATCACCATTTACCATATAGTGTTATAAAGAAGGTCCTTGTCTCTAGGACTTCGAGGAAGACATTCCCCTCCAATCAGCCAGACTGTCCAGAGTACGACGGAAAAATGCCCGATTGACAGCTAACAAAGATGACCAGTCCTTTGTCGGACACCACAAACACTTTGTATGTCGCGCACTCTTAGAAATAGGAGGTGTTTAGGGGTACACCGTTTGTCCCATACGTAACATCCCAAAACTACATGCGGACGTTCACTCCACTGACGTCGAGCTGGGGATACCAACTTTTACGAGCGGATTGATAGCTGTTGGAAACGACGCACTGAATAGCTACTGTGCGCATCAAAATCTAGAGAAAAAAAATCAATGAGGTTTTGCCGCAGGGAGAAAAAAAAAACTAGATTGGCTTACTGAAGCCTGCGATGCGTGCATTAGTTATTTTAATAAGCTGTATCGGTCTACTATCAAGCCGCTCTTGAAAGGTTGTATCGCCTGTTCGACGTCTGTAGACTGAACGTCGAAATGTAGTTTTGGGGGTGTAACATATGGGACAAGGGGTGTACCCCTATATACTCCCAATTTCTTAGAGTGAGTGATCAATAAACAGGCTTTTTATGAGCTCAAAGTAAAAGTTGATATTGGAAGGTTTCAGGCGATTATGAGAAGCCCCAGAACGATGGCGGTTGTTCTGCAAATGGATATCGAACATTTGATAATCGACTTAGACGTTGCTCTGACGAAGCATAGTCTCTCAGCGAAGCGTCAGCTGTCATTGTCCCGTTTCCCAAGAGATATTTTATGTGATTAGCGCAAGGGCATCGTTAAAGTGATGTTTATTTTTGAAAACGACATAAACGAGATATTTTGCGACGTCACAAAAGAAGGGTTGGGTTAGCTTTCGTGAAAGAGACACTGGATGTGCTAAAACGGCTGCAAAAAATGAAAACCCCAACACGACCTTGGACAATCTCAAGGTTACACAGGAGCGTATTTTGACCGCGATTCCAGATTGATGTAGCGTGTACCAATTCAGGACGCACCAGGGTCCTGAGTAAAAGCGTCATCGAGCCCGAGCTCATTGTGCTGTCTAAACGCCGCAGTGGGACTGGAAATGGCCGGAGGCGTCGTTCCCATCGTCGCCATTGTGGCCGCCGTGGGAGCCATTCTTGGTTCGGCTGTCCTGCTCACGTCCAAGAACGACGAGGCCCCCAAGTACCACTCGGCCTTCGCGTACGCTGGCTTCTTTGTCGGTGTCGTCTGGATCTACGTGATTTCAATGGAGATCGTCGTCCTCCTTCAGGTGCGCTCGTTTTCATTTCGTTCCCTTGGCAACGGCGCCTGCCAGGCGTCTCCGCGTGGTGTGCTTGCCACGTCCAAAAACTGGTCCCTCTGCTTCCGTCTGGAGAAGTCAGACAAGTGTCATGGTGTCGCCGGCCGCGATCCTGGCAGTGCCACAGCTGAGGTGGTAGATGTTTCAGACGCATCTTCTGTTGCAGGTCGCTATTCAGCGTAACAGTTCGCAGAAGCCACGCCCCGTCAGTTAGTAGCTGGGACGGTGCGACGACAGCGACGCTCGCGTTCGCTTGCACTTCTTACCGGGACTTGTAGCGCCAACCGCCAGGGATTGTGTTACCCGACAGAGTGACACTCCGGCCTCATTGACGACCTTTGCTGCCACATCGGGATTTTGGACGTATGGGCGTGATATTACCAGTCGCAGACGCCTTCCAAGCAGAGTACCTTTGCTAGTGGTGTGTGAGTCTGGGTGTGCTCGATATAGCTACGCGTTTTTTTGTTTTTGTTTTTTCTGGCATGATAGGGGAAGCGAATTCGTGTAGACTTCAGCGTGTTTTAGAAAAGCGTACGCAAAAGTTTTGCATAAGCAAAACAAACATAGCGTTATCGCTGCTGACCGTGTTTTGAATTGGCGCATAGAACGACGATATTTCATTGCGCACGTAAAATACTTTCTTAAGCCTTTTTCTTTTTTTTTTTAGCTCGCTAGTTTTGCTGACATAAATGACGATACCTTGGCCTTCTCATCAGCTCAAAATATGTCGCATATTGTTAATATTTTATTCATTGTGGTGACATCAAAAATTCCATCCGTAACCACTGCTGTGTCGAGAGTAAAGAGCAAATCCAGATTGATAATATAATAGCAGCTTTCAAACACCAGCATAGCCCATAGACTCAATCATAATTGCAATTCTGACACTGGCACAGACATACCCTTGTTTAAACGCTGCACATTTCGTGTCGGTTGGTAACGGACATTAGTCAAGCAGTAGAAATGTCATGCAATCAATTTAGGTTGTCACAGTTCAGCGTGAAATCTTTTATTAAATGAACACGGCCAAACAAAGGTGGCCATTGTCGCGTACAGCTTTGACAGCTTAAGAAAATGCTGAACGTGCCGAGGTCCGAGCACTTTTATCGCTCTGCGGTCAATGAGATTGTGGAATATAAGAACAACGAATCACGAAGCATGAACAGAATACTGTTCATGCTCGGCGTTTCTTAAACGTTCAACGTCTATAGGTGCACTTTTTCTCTCAAGTATTTTGTCGTGTTTTTATTTTGATACGCGGTGGTGTGCCCGTTTCACTAAAGCTTGGCACGTGTTTGTTATTTCTTACCAACAGGCCGTTGGGCTTGTGTTCAACATCAGTGACACCATTCTGGGACTCACGATCCTTGCATGGGGTAATGGACTTCTTGGTAAGTAGATTTGTATAAACGTTGCTGGATTTAGTTGACCCTGTATACTCAGAAACTAACTTCAGCAACGAATTTATTGCGATGTCTTGAAAAATAGTGGTTACATGATATCCTGAGGTTTCCGCGGTTCATGGTACATTCGCAAGACGGCGTCTTTCTCCGAGGAGGATATTAAACGACATCGAGTGTTTATGTCGCGTGCGCCGCGTCGTGGACCTTCGCTAATCACCCGAGCTTGCGGGGAAACCGCGTAGAATATGCGACCTGCCTAAAGAACAACTGTCGTCCCGTCGGAGTGACCGCCCCCTTCCCCCCTCATTTCTGGGAAAGAATATGGTAAACAGCATTTAGCTATGGGGTTCCTTTGTTACATTCTTCTCTTCCCTGTCTTTTGTTCTACGAGTCCCGAAAATCAGAAACACGTTCAAGAAAGCCACGACGCCGCCGACTGAACTACATGCGACTCCGTCCGGCGAATGCTCGCTCGAATTTTCTTCACCACTTCCTCCTCGCGGCCTTTCCTCCTCTGAGGTATATGACGTACTAGGTTTTCTCCGAAGATAATTATATGTCGTGTGAATACACCATTCTTATTTGTGCAAATTAACACGACACTAATTTCTCTTCTTTTTCTGTTTTTTTAGATTTCTTGGCCAACTTGAACATCGCGCGAAAAGGCTACCCACGAATGTCCATTTCCGCCTGCTTCGGGACACCTTGCTTGAGTATCCTTTTTTACGAAACAAGAAGTGTTTAAGGAAAACAATTACTGATGGTTCCGCGCGTAACATTTGTGTGTAGCAACAGAAATACCAAAACCCTTTTGCCAAAGTTGCCCAACAAAAAAGACAGGTGCGCCAATCGCTCGGGCGAGGATCGTCTCGCGATTCGGCCCATAAAACGAAGTATCCTATGTTAGCCGACAGTAGCAACACGCTCTACTTCATCGAGCGAACAAGAGTGGTGGTGAAGAGTCAAAGGGAGAGAACAGCTCGCGACAGATGCGGCGCTGCTGTCGACGTTCAGGTGATATTCCCCACTGCGTCAACTTCTCCGGAAATTACTTGGTAGAGCGAATCACTGCAATCTACGGAGCGAGTCCAGCCAATGACGAGGCTGCAAATATGTGTATACCTTTACAGCGGTTGGCTCTCCCAGGGGTTTCGCGGGAAAGTAGACGACGTCAACTTTTCAGAGTGGGCTCTATAGGCCATTACGAGGGATTGCTTGTCGGGCAAAGTGAGCGATTGTCACACTTCTAGCCCTCCATGACACAGCTTCCATGCTATCAGTATGCGGAGAAGCATAGTGTGCAGCCATCATGATGCAGAGTTGTCACCACGCAACGCACGCGTTCTCTTTCAGAACCGGGAATACTGTAGAGAAACAAATAGCTTACATTTGCTGCTCATTGTAAGGGCGGTAGTTTATAGTAGTGTACCTTGCATGGGGAGTTACTCTGGTATTCACCATAACGGCTGTCAACTGAAACTTTGATGTTATGATCCTTAACCTATGATCAGCTCTTCTTTTGGGAGTCGGCATCCCCTCACTGGTCCAACTCGCTGGTACAGGAAACGTGCTGGTGGTAAGTTCATTACACAATTCTTGGTTTGGAAGTCAGTTAGTGCATAACCTCAAAACAATAAATAACGTTTACGGTGTTCTATTTTAACAGGCATGCGTAAAAAGCTGGTTCAATGTTGACCGAGACTTTTGTGCGTAAAAATTCGCAGAACAAGTGTAGCAAAATATAGCTTGCCAAGAACGTCAAGGTAATCCTTATTTCATATCCTGCGCCCGGAGTGACGTATTTGACGCATGCGCAGTAAGTAGATGCAGCTATTATGGCGGCGGACCATGCGTGTGGAGCTCTGGAGAAGCGGTGCCTAACAAATATTTGTGGTAAAGAAGAAAGTTAAAACGGATGCAATTTTTGAAAGATTGCATTTGCAGTGTGAGGGAGACACGACGTCACGGCCAGGACTGTAAGAATGTTGTCAACAGTTTGTCGAAAGACAAAATCCGATGACATATTAACCACACGGGCACGTTGGTCCGTCTACAGTGACGCGACCCAATTCTATTTAAGTATAAAAATCTAAACCAGGGAGCTGCCAAGACGATCAAATCAGCGGTGTCCTGAAGCTGCTCGAGGAATAGTTTGAAAACAAAACACAGTTCCGAACTAGCCGGGTTCTTTATTTGCTGTCTGTATAAAAGTCCCGGTGAACATTGAACCACCTTCGTACGCGCATCAGTGTGTATCTCGTCATTAATGCCGGGACACCGGAAACAAACATGAATCAAGCATGTGAAGGTGGCAAACAGTTATATTAAGAACGCGACAAAAACAACCAAAGGTTGTCTACTTATTTAGGCTTTTGAGAAAGCCTAAATAAGGAAAGCTTTATTTACGCTTTCCCAATACGTGAAGAAATTTAAAAAGAAATGATATTAATGCGATAGCGTTAGAACCTCGTGTCGCAGAAAGCCGGCCTCGGTGGTGTGACCATCCTGACTGGTCGAAAGGTCATGACGTCACAGCCACATGACCTCGCACGGGAATTTTAAACACCCCAAAACGCTCACGTGAAACGTGACGTCACGCGTGGAATGAAAGTGATTAAAACATGGCATGTAATGCGAATCAGAGGTCGCCGCAGGACTAAAATGGCTTCACTTTGTAAAGTAATATATTTGCCTTTAAGAGAAAATTTTCAAGAATGTTAGGCGAGATTCGCATTCACGAGCCTTCGGTTGCAAGCCAGCCACGCTACTGCCTAGACCACGCAAGGCACGCTTGCATGGCAAATGACAAGGCGATGCGAACGAGGCATAATAACTTTATCGCGTTCCACTCTTAGAGGTGAAGCTTAAGAGTTCTCAAAGTTTCAAAGTAGTTCATCAGATTTTTAGGTTACTAACTATTCAGACACCTTAATATAAGCAGTGCCCAGATAGCGACGAGGTTTTACTGATTCTGCTGGATCTTCCTTCGCCGGAACTTTAAAGCGGGTCCGGCTGAGCGGAACTAAGTCATGTACGTGTGCTGTCTATCCTCGTGACATCCCCCTCCCCGCTTTGAAAATCTTGAAACGGCGGAGGCTCCAGAGCCACGCCGGCTAAGACGTAAGGGTCTGTAGGACTTTCATCTCTGTCATCCCAGGCGACTACACTTGCGAGCGAGATGGTTAATGTCACAGCTTATGTGAAAAACGTTAATACTCGAAAAGGTTCATCGTTATTTTGCACATTTACGCCTTTGCTGCGACTGTTATTTTGTATCTACAGCCAATCAAGATTCTGTACGACGTTACTTTGTTTCGCACAAAACTGAATTCATGTAACTTATCAGTCGGAATCGCGTTGTAGAAGTGGATGCCCCGCTTTAACACCTTTCATCTGGAGTCTTTTCTACGTTCTTTTCTAACTTTTTATTTTTTAATTAAACGATCGAACGGAAGGAGCACCCTCAACCATTATATCTATAGAAACACTAACAGAGTGAGAACGGTAGGGTGTATCATTCGAACGCCCGTTCTGCAGCGTGCGCTTTGTGCCATCTGCCGTGCCTTGGCTGCGCGCGCGCGAGTTTGAGGCTGAAGAGACGCTGAAGAATTGTCGAAGGTAGGCGGCTCGTGGCGGAGGCGGAACAAGTAAAGCTCTTCTCGGGTGTTCCCACATTATCAGTGACTATACGGAGCGCAAATCGTCTGCTTCTTGCGCAGCAGTTCCGGTGACGCCAAGCTCTGATTGGCTTTGATTGAAAGGGTAGACCTCAATGCTAAATGCCTTGAGGTCTACCCTCAAGGCATTCGTCATCGCAGCCCCTGTGCAAGAAACAGACGAACTTGCGCCCCGCATAGGTCATGCATTCTCTGTTGAGCTACCAATGCAACCGTTTTAGTATTGTTTTGTGTATCATTCACTGTTAAAGCAAGTAACGGCTATTCACTTGGAGCCGAACTTTCGTTGACTGTTAATTTCCTACCAATGACCTCTATAACAATTGCTGGATCGCCTTTGCCCACTCCGCAAATGCGACCACTGACGGCCATCTTTTTGGTAGAGTTATATTACCTCTAGCCAAGGTACAGCTGCTGCAGCCACTATTATCCATCCATGGCAGACAGCATTGTTGCAGTTGTGGTGGCAGGCTACCATCAAAATAGCGTGGGTGATATTTCGTGCTTTATTGAAATTGTTTGACGAAACATATTTTTGAAACCCGGCGTGAGCAGTAGCCCCATCTTTGAAGGCCCGGTGAAAGTTTTAGGAAATCGCAGCACCAGGGAAAAGCAGCACCGCATGCATCGAAAGTGGCATCGAAAGAAACATCGAAAGCAGACGCCGGTACGGAGTCTGCTTTCGCTACGAGCTGCGTGGCCTTCCCACGGTGCTGCGCTTTCGTAGAACTTTCGCAGGTCCTCAAAGGTGAGGCTACCGTTCACGCCAGGTTTCAAGAATCTGCTTGGTCGAAAAACTTCAATCAAGCACGAAATATCACCCACGGTAAAGTGTACTAGATCCACGGCTATTTTATGGCAGCCTGTCGCCATTGTGCTGTCCGCCATATTACTATGATGGCTAGAGATAATATAACTCTACCTAAAAGATGGCCGACCGTGGCCGCATTCCCGTCGATAGGTGGAGCTGGTCAAACGCGATCCAGCAAATAGACATAGAGATCAGTGATTTGTACGGAGCAACGTGTGGTAATTATTTTGCTATGTGTCTTTTTTGTTTCTTACAGCTGCAGTATTCCAAACTGATCACAGTCCTGTTCTCCGGGCTCGCAGCGAGTCTAGTGTCATCTCTGGTCACAATGACAGCGTTGAAGTTCCACAGCAGGCGCTTCTACGGAGGTTACCTCCTCGCCCTGTACTTCACTTTCCTGGTGATCGCCGTTCTCGTCGAATCCGAATTTATCTGAACAAAACGGCGAAAACTAGGAGAGAATTCCTAGAAGGGTGACATCTTGAAACAATTGGTATCTGCTCGCACGTTGGCACGTCAATGGCTGTAACGCTGTGCGCGTCTGGAGTCAAGCTCAATCTAATAGACGTGTTCTCTGCTGTAACGCTTTGCGCGTCTCGAGTCAAGCTCAATCTAATAGACGCGTTATTTGATGGGTGCTGACCGACACAGCTGTCAAATGGCGAAGCGACCTAGTCGAAACTGCCTTTACACAAGCTCCTTCCTGAAAGAAAGCATAATATACTTTACATATTCAGCCCACTTTTATTATTCGCTTGATATGGCGTTCCCCGTGTTGGGCTGAAGCCAATTCGCTTTTGAATTGCTTCATTCTTTCTTTGCTCCTTGTTTTTTGTTCGCGAGAAAATAACAGAAAGCAGAAAAGAAGAAAAACGGCATTGGAAACGGGTGTATGGCCCGTGCGGTTTTTAGAACACTAATACCAGCTGTTGTTTCTTTTTTCTTTTTTTTTTTTAGATGGGGGGGGGGGGGAATACGTTTGGACGCCATTCGGATTGCATCATAGGGCCCCGAACAAACTTCAACTGCAATGAAGCAGTATGAACCCAATTCGTTGTAGCGAATAAAAAAAAACGCATTTTCTTAACAAACGTTGGAACGTATTTAGCAAAGCAAAAAACAAAAGACCTTCTGAGGACGCTGACCGCGTAGAATGACTGCATTTTCTGTCATTCGTCAGAGTCAATGTATTTATGGCCGCGTACGTATTTAAATTATTTATATATTTGCAAGAATCCTCGTTTTCACTTTCTTCGCTGCTTTAGATTATTGCCAATATTGTGTTGGCAGTACGCTTAACACTGTATTTATTGAATAAATTATATTTTGAGTTATCATTGATTGTCTGCTTCATTGTAGTTGTCAAAATCTTCTCTTTCAAAAATAATGTAACGTTATAAATGGCGTATTTGAATAAGTTGGTCGACCTCAGGCCTATCATGGCCTGACCTTTTCATAAGATATATACGGAGGATTATGGCCATACCCCCTGGTATGGCAACTGGGTCATTTATGCGTCGTATTCGACCACAAGAAATACAGCATTGCTAAATTAAAATAAATCGCGAAATACAGAACTCAATCGCTATCTTACTCTAGTCGTTGGCACGTTAAGAAACACAGAGAGTGGCTTATCATGCTTGTGCTTCTTTGGGTTTCGTTTTTCAACGTTTTTATGGGCTGCTGAAGCAATCTCAATAGGGACTTTTACTAGATTGCTCCAATAACTCTTATAACAACATGCAATTGTCCGCCGACGCCTTAGCTTATGCATCACATCGTTGTCGGGTATCGTATACGGATTTATCGGAACGGTTTACTAAAACTCCGTATAAACTTTGATATTGTAAGAAAATATGCTCGGAACTCGTTAAGCTCTGCGTTTCTTCAGCTGTCAGTAAAACTTTTGCCTTCACTAATAACAGGTTCTATGACTCTTTTCCAAAACAGATACGGTAGAACGCTCTACACATTAAGCTCCTCTAGAGTACAGGCTTTTCTTGATTTCAGATTAGGGGAAGGAAATGCATCGTGTTGAAATTTACGACTTTGAGGCTACCTTTCTAGCACTCGCGAAGTGATACGAAAAATCACAACTCTACAAAATAAGCTCTTAATCAACTTTTTGTTAAAAAAAAGCCAGACTTTTTTACTCTGCTATGAAGTCATGCTTGCGATCTCAGATAGCCACAAGTTACTATAGAACTGGTGCAGACTGCTGGAGTATGTTTCAATGTATATATAAAACAAGATATGTTTAATTTACTCAAATGAAAATCGGTACGTGTTGCAACATTCTATCTTTTTTTTTTTTAGTTAGCTAAAGTTCTGCTAGATCATCATAGCATCTAGGGTTTATTTTGGATATGAACGCATGCCAGGGGATCTGTCTGCCTGAGAGCGACACTTACGTCGAACAAATTAATTTGAGTCAGGAACATTTTTTGAATTGAGAGTAATCTTTAAGATTAGCGGAAATTTTTTTTTTTCGCATAACGAATATAGTGTTAACAAATATTTAACGGAGTAGCGGGTTAACGAATAACATGTACACATTAAGAAAAGATTCCTCGTCCGTGCTTGTCATTTTGAGTATCTTCATAACGGGTTTTATCAGAATGAGTATATTAAAGACATGTAATTGAAATGCCCTAAAATTGTAAATGGACCACTAAATTCCTAGAATTACAATTCCTGAGATTCTGGTTACCGGGGATACGAAATGCAGAGGTCCGGGCACCCAAAAGTGTGCTATGATTGTAATTGTTTTCAAATGGCCTAAGGCAATTTCGACAAAAACCTTGAGACCGGCACCTAATTATTAAAACAATTAGCACCCGTTGCGGGCACCTGTATGGTGCCAGGGTAGTGGCCGCCAGGGTGCGGACCCAGTACGTGCCACACGTGTACGAATGGCAACAACCAAGGAGGCGTTAAGCCGGCAACAACAGGCCACCACATCAAGCAACAGAGGACTCTTCTTCGTCGAATACCCACGATGGACAGTCGAATACATCAATATTTTATTGATCTTCCTCTCCTTCGAACATTAAAAGCAGCGATTTTATTTGTAGATCCTGTCTTTGTGTTGTTCCTCGGGGTCTGACATGCAGAAAAACACCCTTGCCACATTTTCAATCTATTTTTAAAACAAAAACGGGGTAGCATCGCGCAATGCTGATGTCGAAGGGAAATGAACACTTAAAGTTTGGAAATTCTGGACACAACTCCTAACCCTTCATTGATGAGATATAAAAAAATATCCTTAAAAAAATTATTTTTTAAGATAGCAATGTTTTCTAAAATCAAATAAAACAGCAAAGCTAGAATTTCAAACAAAATCGTAATGTAAGCTTGCAGTTTGCCTGGGGCAACACAAGGCAAAAGTCCGAAAATGGCTCCCTTGCGTAACCTCTATGAATCACTATAAAATGTAATCATTATCTGCGCATACGATAGCATCAAGTAAAACGGTCAACTGTCGGAAAATATTAGTGTTAAGAGAAAATAAACTAATCCATATTTTTCGCCATCGACGTCCTTGCTTTCCGCGTATTTGCGCGCCAAACATATTTTTCTAGCGAACTATTTTCGGATCTTTTCACTAGATGGCGTTGTAGTTTCGGTCATCAGGACTTTTACCACACTGGTAGATTAAAAAAAAAAGTTAAGCCGAAACTATTAAACAACAAAAATTTCTTATGTGGTTCGTTGCCTGTAGGCAACACTCGTCAACAGAGTGTGCGCTAGCGCTTGTACTTTCTTTAACTTCGAATTATTCAGTGACGTTTGTAACGACTGAAGTAACGCGTATGCACCGGAACACACTGTTTAGAAACAAGCCCGCGTCTGCACAACGCGTGGGGAGAAGCCAGATTCGCGAAACATGAAGCATCTGCCAGTGTGCAGTGACGACAGCAGCGCCACCCTAGTGGCGTGACGTCAGAGGGTTAAGTTGTTGTTTTCGCCGCACCTGTTGCGACGCGACGAATATTTAGAAGAACAATCATACTGTGAGCTGGAGCAGCAGCCCTCGCCTTGCTATGCACGGAGGACAGCACGAAGAAGGTGCTACGCCCGGTCGAGCTCCAGCGAGGAGACATGACCGGACGAATCTTTTGCCCAAAGAGAGATTCTTTTTTATCCTACATTGGAAAATTTTTATATATATATTGAGTACATTAGTGCGCATGTATTTGTGTATATTTCTGGGCCTGTTTGTGCGCGTCTTGGTGCCTGAATGCCGAATGTATTTGATATCAACTACCTCATCATACGAGAATGCTTTTTTGGATGCTGCCAAATAAATTAATAAATTGTTGAGTGTTGCAACCCCTCAAAACAATTAGTATTCCATCCTCCTTCTTGTACTGCTGAGTCAAACCTTCTTAGGTAAACGTTTTCATTATTTCATAAAATTACGAAAGTAGACCTCATATACACGTTCACGCGTATTGTCACAGGCATTTTTCCACACACCAGCGACATCTACACGCGAGGAGCGGAGGAACTGCCTGAATACGATGTCACAATACATGTAGCGCACGTTTATGCCACAAACACCGTTCCGTAGCACTGATTTAATAAAACAAATTGTGCGATATAAGCAGGTACTTAACGCAACAAAAAAATTAATAGGGCGCCTTATATGCAGATAACCAACTCTGCATAGCGGTAATAGAAGCTGTTTCCATTTCAACCTTGATTATGCAAAACAGATACGGAAATGTTGATCTAACTTTTCCGCATACCCAATTTTTTTTTTAACCTTGCGATCATTTTATGCTAATATTAATCTGGTTGACATCTACATAACTGCGTCATGACATGCTTTCATGTGCATTGATGCAGTCCCATTTGTTCATTCCTACTTGAGACGACATTTTGGGATTATGCCAATCACGTAGGAGGTCTACATTGAAAGGCGCTATTCGGACTCATTACCGTTTTATTCGGTGCTGGGTATTATCTCGAGGCTTTATGAACGTAGTACTAGAATTATTTGTCTTATCCTGGTGTACTCGGGATCCTGCAGAGAAACGCACGATTATTTTATAGGGCGTTATTACACTTACCTAAATGGTCAATTATAACTTTAACATAAAACAAGGAAAAAGCGATGAATTGTTTCCGTGTATATTTTTATATGTAGCAACCTATCCCAGGTAGCACCGAGTTCTGGGCCAAAACTTGGCTTTTGTCTGGAAGTTTAGGGTATTGAAAAGCCCGAAGAAGCCAAAGTAGAGCCAAACCTCACCTCCTTTGGCAACAGTCTGCGTATTTTGGCCCTAACTCGCCAAACAAATGCCAAACTTAGGCTTCACTCCCTGGTAGTTCGGCTGTCATCTGGCATCTTTGGGCCTAAATCGCCTGACAAATGCCAGAGGTAGTTCGGTAGATAGTTGGCATTTTTGGGCCAAAATCGCCTAACTAATGCCAAAGTTAGGCTTCACTTTTTGATAGTTCGGCTGTCATTTGGCGCCTTCGGGCCAAAATCGCCACAGGTGTGCCAGTGTTAGGCTTACTACCTTGTAGTTCGGTTGACATCTGGCATCTTTGGGCCCAAGTCGCCAAACAAGTGCCAAAGTTAGGCTTCGCTTCCCGATAGTTCGGATGTCATCTGGCAGCTACGGGCCAAAATCGCCAAACAAGCGCCAAAGTTAGGCTTCGCTCCCGATAGTTAGGCTGTCATCTGGCAGCTACGGGCCAAAGTAGCCAAACAAGTGACAAAGTTAGGCTTTGCTTCCCGATAGTTCGGCTGTCATCTTGCAGCTACGGGCCAAAGTCGCCAAACAAGTGCCAAAGTTAGGCCTCGATTTCCGATAGGTCGGCTGTCGTCTGGCAGCTACGGGCCAAAGTCGGCAAACAAGTGCCAAAGTTAGGCCTCGCTTCCCGATAGTTCGGCTTTCATCTGGCAGCTACGGGCCAAAGCCGCCAAACAAGTGCCAAAGTTAGGCTTCACTTCCCGATAGTTTGGCTGTCATCTGGCAACTACTGACCAAAGTCGGCAAACAAGTGCCAAAGTTAGGCTTCGCTTCCCGATAGTTCGGCTGTCATCAGGCAGCTACGGACCAAAGTCGGCAAACAAGTGCCAAAGTTAGGCTTTGCTTCCCGATAGTTCGGCTGTCATCTGGCAACTACGGACCAAAGTGGGCCAACAAGTGCCAAAGTTAGGCTTCACTTCCCGATAGTTTGGCTGTCATCTGGCAACTACGGACCAAAGTCGGCAAACAAGTGCCAAAGTTAGGCTTCGCTTCCCGATAGTTCGGCTGTCATCTTGCAGCTACGGGCCAAAGTCGCCAAACAAGTGCCAAAGAGGCCTCGCTTCCCGATAGTT